TTTATAGAACAAAACACCAGCAAAACAAACCTCTCGAAAGAAAGGAGGCTGACAGATGATTCAGCTAGAGTTTTTGTCCGGTATCTACGCTTAGACAAGATCATTGGCTGATAGCCGTGGGAAAGTTTGGATGTTTAACCGCGAATGAACAAGATTGTAAGTTTGGTTTAATAACTTTAGGAAACGGCTTCAGTCAAGGGGAAACTTAAATGAGGTGGGTGCTATTAATATCGCGCCATTTAGCACGGTTGAACACTTGCGCAAGAGATAATTTTACCACCCGTGACAAAAACAAATAAGACATTTGGTTGAGAACAAGAGGGGAAATTATTAACAATACAGTAAAACTATATATCTAGTTAAAAGCCAACCCAACACTGCCAAGGCAATTGAAATAGGGATGATTGTAAAGCTCAGGGTTTATATCGTTCCATGATTTTAGTAACAGTGTATAGGTACTTCTGCTTACATTAAAATACTCCGCAATTAACTGCAATTGTCAATACGTGGCCTTGGCCTTGACGCAGCACGCTCAAAAATTTCTCGGCGAAGATTTACTTAGCTTAGTTTGGCGCAACGTTTACGAGCAAAATTCATGACATGGGAATGGAAGATTTAACATATATACAGTAATGTGCATCTTAAATGACAGTTACTTTTTGGACTATAAAACGATAAAGAGGGTACTGAATATCAACTGAGTAAATCAGAATCAATAAATCAAAATACCTATGTACATGCTATATTAAATTTTTTTCTCTAACTCATCAAAATCCTGGAATAGTAAACATTGAATATGCATAAAGGTGAATATACAAAGAGGTGCAATAATTAATGTAATTTTTATCATTTTGATTTTTTTGACGAGTACATACAAAACTCAGTGAACTTTATGAGAAACAAGTTATGAGAAAAATCAACCTTTGATATAATTGGCTGAAAAAGAGTAAAGTAGAATCGCGGAGGACTGTGCACTGATCAGCGATTTGTATTAAAACTAGAGGCTCTGGAATTTTCATGGGAGTGTGGGAGAGCCCTATTAACTGGGTGGGTGGGGGTGGTGGGGATAAAAGGGGCAAGTTTAATGCAACTGGATCGTCTTGGTACGATTTGGAATATATGTTGACGTAAAAAAAAAGCATTAGTAAACAAGATTAACAGCTTCTTTAAAAAATAATGTCAACTTTTTTCAAGTCTTCCACGATCGCAGTTGGTCCAGATGCAATGTTATACTTCACAATTTGTTCCAGCGCCGCAGCACATTTCTCTCGATCTAAGTTAACTTTCGCCGCTCGACTTGAGAATACGTCTGCGAGAAGTAAAAATTAGTGCTTCTTTGCACCGAAGCTGAGAGCGGACAATCAAAACACTCTTGCACATCCTTCTTCAGTAACCAATCGGACGAAGAATTAATATCAATCCAGACTAAATCACCCGAGTTTTCTAGCGCTTCAAACAATTTGCTTGTTTTTACTATGAATTCTCGTGAACCCCTTGAGATAATCAACTTTACCAATTGACCTTATGATAACGTTAGATTTGGTCGAAGGCAGTCATCTGTAAAGACCTCCTAGCAACCTAACCTCCTAATTTTTCCTTTCGACATCACCCCTGAATCACACGTTAAGATCATGAGAACAAAAGTGATGATCACCAACTGAAAAAGTAAAAAAAAAATTCTCTTCGTAACCCTCTTAAGAAATGGGTGTAATGGGTGAACCGTCACAATGACTTGGTCAGGAGTCGAACCCAGACTCTTCGCTCTCGAGTCAGGCGCGCCAACCACTAGGCTTTCGATCGAGATTAAACCAACAAAAGACACCTCACTCTGGCATGGATCATTTAATGATCAGGTGTTATTCAAATTCACCTACAGAGACTACAGACTGTCCTATGTGGACAATTAAATAAAAGAACTTGGATCATTGTCAGTATCTGAGCAATTACACACCTACCCCTCCCCTAACCCAACATTAACCCTCACTTATTATCAGTTGACTCTTGTTGTTAGGGGAGGGGTAGGAGAGTAGTTGCTCAGATACTAACATTGATCTCAGTAATTGACAGCGACTGTGATATCACATCAATACAAATTAAATACTGTTAAATATACCCAAAGTACGATAATAAGGCCTTTCTCTCTTAAGAGACATGATAAAAAAATTAAAAAAAAGAACACTCAAGGTTTAAATAACGGGGGCTTTTCAAATCTTTCAATCCCAAAAGTGACTAGAAAGGAATTTCTCCCAACAATATTCGTTCATTTCACAATGAAAGGTATTGATAAAAAAGAATAATATAAACTAGTGTTTCTTGTTTGATCTGATACCAGACTCTCAATGCTAAAATAATTAAGTGTGACAAACAGTGTAGAGAATTGATATTTCGAGCTTAGAAATGAAGGGGTTGAAAAAATCACCGATGAGGGAACATTTTCAAGAATAGAACACGAGGTAAAAACATTAAATCGTATAAAACTAAACAAATCTTACTAAAAAAATTATCAATTTCTCGATTAGAAGCGTTTGAATACCGTATTATTTGAATACCCGTATATTCTCCAGTAAGTGTTCCTTTGGAACGAATGAATAAGTTTGAATTATTGCAAGGTCTACAGCCCTCGAAAACTGGGCGAATGGGAAAGTTCTTTCACCTTAAGTAGCCCCACCATACCCTGGACATAAGGAGTGAAACAATCTTCATTTGTGCCTCTCCATGGAGAGGGAAGGCAATTAATACTTAAAGGGGGGGGAGAGAGGAAGTGGGTGACGAAAGTTTTTGAGGAATTTTTGGGATGGAGTCATTTTCAATTTATTTTCGAAAGTAAATCGATATTACTTTGGTTTTCCTTTCCTTCATTTTGTGATTGGTCCACAAAACTCGCACCACTCTCAACCAATCAGATGCAAAATTAAAAACAATCGCGACTTTGTCATTCGCGTTTTCGCGCGCTTCAGGCAGTTTGCTTGTTTTAACTCGGAGTCCTCATTGGCTACTGATGACGTAAATCGTTTTTCTGGTTAATCGCTGTGATAACTTTTGTTTTGGTTTTAAAACATTCAATTAAAACTGCTCTAATAACGAAATCGTATTTTGGATAACTCCATTTCTTCAGGTTTGGAGGATATCAAGTATTCGCCTCGAAAAGACTGTTGGAGCTGTATCCGTGTTCGTCTTAAACGCTCCTTCTTGGAATCATCATTACGGTGAGAAATTGTATATCTGAGATTTCTTCCAGAGTCCAGAAAAGTCTGCGCGTTGCGAAAAACGACTTAAAAAAATAAAGTTGTAAATATTTGAAATTGTGCGGTCACGGATACAGGTGCAACGGAACTTTTACAGGCAGAACCGATGTGTGAAAAGCCGACTTTAGATTGTTACAGTACAATGAAAGAAAGGATCGACATTTCTCATGTCCTAAAGTCAAAAGCCTAGTGATCGCTATTCTCGAAAACATGCGTGACAAAACTTCTTTGCAGACAGGAAATGGTTCGTCACGCAATACTTCCCAAGAGAGTGGTTGAGTGACGTGGCGAGTGATACGAATGAAGACATCATAATATGAATGAAGTAAGCTCGACTTACAAATGAAATTTACGCCTCAAAGAGGCAATAACGCCCCCAAAATTATCACTTTTTCACGGCGTATACCATATACCTCGAACGGAATTTTTCAAAACCAATCTACTTGATAAATCATATCAAAATCATGTCCAAATCACTGTGTAGACTTGATATGAGCAATTACGTAAATAAATATTCGCGTCTATCGCACTCACCACAAAATATCTATACCCAAACAATGTGCAATTCTTAAAAAAATAACGCAAAAATACACCTTGTAAACAAGTTATTCCCACACCGACTAGAAAAAGCCCATATTACGCGTACATGCGTATCACTATGCTACTCATCACGTGATCAAAGCAAAGACATACGATTGGCTAAACTGACCACATCTCACTCACTTTTCGCAACTTTAAGAGGCAACATTTTGACGAAAAGATTTCAGCGTTCGGCCACGGTCGGTGGAAGGGGAGTACATTGAACAGATTTTTTTCATAAATTAAAACCACTCTCACTTGAATAAATATTTCCATAAATTGGAAAACGCCACAGAAAAGGGCTAACTTCTCCACCGAGATTACAAATTAATTAATAAATTATTAATGTATGAATAGCTACTCTGTTAAAACACGAACTGGTCAAGAAGGTTATTGTTGATCTCACTGCTTTCCACCAATGACATTCCGCTCTTTTAAACACTTCCAGGGAACTGCAAACCGGATCCCAGCTATTCCAGTATTACTCACTTTCAAAGAAAAAGAAATTGTTACATCTGGCTATGCGTGTTATCTTTGGATCTGCAAACGAGGGAAAAACTTTCTAAGGAATTATGGTAAATGTACAGGGAAGGTAAAATGATGATAATCTCACATCAAAGGAAACAGAAAAGTTACAAACAGATTATAAACTCTCAAATGTAAGTACGATTTTTTTTTGACAACTTACGTCAACGCTAGCAATAGATAAATTAATAGACAAACAAACAGACAGACTGTCACGTTGGTTGAAACGTAGGCAATTAAAGACACAAACAAGACAAAAAAGATAGACAGACTAATGGTCTGGTGGGCTGGAAAGAGGAGAGCCAAGTAAGCACGCGGAAGGCAAACACACCGACAGACAGACAGACAGACAAACGGAAGACCAACTGACAGACAGACTAACAGACGAAAGGACCAACTGACAGACTGACAGCCAGCCAGACGGCTGGACAGACAGACCAACGGAAAAACAGACCACCGAAAGACAGACCAATTGACAGACAGACCAACTGACAGAAAGACTAACAGACGAAAGGACGAGCCGACAGGTTGTAGCCAAACAGCCAGACAGATGGAAAGACGATCGTGCAAACAGAAAGATATCGATACTAAGGAACTTAACAACGTCACACAGATCTCCAGTCGAAAGATCAACTAATAAAAACAGCATCGTTACCTGTTGGATGCTTTTTGCATGTAGCGAGCCTCTTGTCGTTTGTTTATTCTCTCTTCTCGTCGCCTCTGTGACGAACGTCTTCTTTCCCGATAACTTCTGAAAGTATTCTGTATAATGGCGGCTGCCCGTCGACTCTTCTTGAACCTTTCGTGTTCACGGTATGTACGGTACTGGCTCTGAATTATCCGAGCTGCGCGGGTCATTTTTTTGAACGCGATAAACTATTTTGCAAAAGGATAAAAGAGTGCGCTTAGTTGTCAACTGTGAACTAAGTTCACAATATCAGCGTATTTCATTATTGTGTTGTGGTTTCTGTGGGAGGCTCAACGTCTTACCCAGCAAAATTAGATGGATCGAAAAGGGTCAGATCGTCCGACGCAAGTTGATTTCCCAGTCGATCAAAATAGTTCTCTTGCTACGCTTACGCACTGGTAAAGCACCAGAGGAACCACAATCCAATCCTAGGTAAATTGGTTTTCAGAATTTTTCTTGCTCTCCAGAAATCGCCATGACTTGGCTGCTAAAATTATTTTTTCCCACGCTTCTCAGCAGATAATTGTTTTGCTTTGCTTTTCTTGGGCTAACAGCGGGTTTCAGGTTTTCCCGCGCTTGATTGGTCAGTGGGTGCTGCCGGCTAGATCAGGTCAGTAAGTTTCATTTTTTTCCCGCCCTTGAAACCAGTTATGTAATCAGCCTTCAACTACTCCCCCTTCGTCACAATTGACAAAGCAAGAGCACAGTCAAGCGCTTAATACGAAGAAGCCGTGCGCACTTAGGCCGAGAGTCAGCGGTTGGCGAATTTTTGACAAAAGTTGGGTAGCTTACCTCTTTATATCTACGATAATGGTGCTGAATCAGTATGGCAGCTTCTATTTCCTGCTCCTGTTGGTGGCGCCTTGTCTACAAAAAATCGACGTAAAAATCAGAGCTGTAAGGTTAATGTGGAAAGTTAAGAGAACTAACCCAACCTTGTAATTTCTGTAGGCATTCTGGATGATCTTGGCTGCTTCGTAGAGTTCCCACTGCTCGCGATCTGAAAGGACAATTGAAATTCACGTTGCGAAATTACTTTCATCAACAGAACTCGAAATTAACTTTATTAAACCAATAGGAGACTCAACCATCATAGGGCATGAACGAACAATTGAATTTCAAGCGCCACAATTTTCTAAAATTTATTCAAGTGAGGGTGTGATTTGCTGACGACTTTTCTTTTTCTTTGACGCGACGAAATCCCACAGATTTCCTACCTGTTAACGTGAGATCCGAAAAATCTCTTTCCAACAGCTTACGAGAACTTGAAATGAACTCCTGAAATTCAGTCGTGTCTGGTCCAGAAGGAGAGGAATGGGGCGAGTTAAGAAAGACGGGAGAACCTGGGGAGAGGGAAGACTTGGAAGAGCATGGCGTCAAAGGGGAAGATTGGGAAGAGGCCGAGCTGAAGGTGCGCAGCCTGGCTGCCGGTCCCCAAGTCCCGGATGTAATGAGTTCTGAGTTTTCGTGTAACGGAGATAAATGAGCGGATATCCGGTGATTTAGCTCTGCCTCCTGTTCTGCCTCGTTTATCATCGAACGTATATGCACCAATGTTTTTGCCAGAGTCTTAGCTGGTTTTCTACTTAATTGAGGCTCCAATTTGTTTTCATCAACAACCATTGGCGAGTTTGCTCGGTCAACCATGTCAGCATCCACAGGAACTGGTAACAACGAGCAAGAATTAGGGGCCGGGACAGGAGTCAGTAGAGAGTCACACGATGAGGCCATTGGCGATGGGGTCCCGTCAGAATCACGGTCCATTCCGAGAACTGAACGACTGTAACGGAAAGGGATAAAAAATACAAGATTAGCCCAAAGAAAGAAAGAAAGAAAGAAATAAAAAAGCGAACCATTTTGAAAAGCAGGAAAGACCAGCAAACTGAGCTCATCTAAACAGAAGGAAAAAAAATATTACAGCCAGTAAACCCACCTGAATGGAGAAGACATCACATAGTCTTCAATCAGATCAACCACGTCTAAGAAGCCTCTGTCCCTAGCTAGCTGCAAAGGCATACGACCTCGCGCATCGGGCTCTAATAAAGCCTTCGGTTCGGCCTCTAACAGCAGGTGAGCAGTGTCTGTCTGACCAAGAGCGCATGCCCAAGTCAGCGAAGTGCAAGCAAATTCGTCCTTCCTGAGTGGGTTCATTTCCTCTCTGACAAGCTGGCTTTCACTCTCACGCCATAATTTCAACAGTGTGCATATCAGCCGGTTAAAACCCAGCGCAGCGGATAAGTGTAGAAGAGTCATTCCTCTGAATGGCTTATCCCCCTTTGTTGGGGCGTTTATAGCAGAGCTTATGGTTCGGTGGAAAAATTCACAAGCGACGATGAGTCGATCTTCAAAAGTCGCGCATTGTTTTCCGTGTTGTGTGTCGTTTGCGGAATTGCTCGTCTGGTTCGAGTGGAATCTGGATTCTAATCTCTCAAGGCGGTCGAGTATCGCCAGCTTAAACCGGTCATTATCAGTGGCGAGCCACTCGTGACAGCTAGCTCCCACCACGGGTGAGTCACGTGCACGATACTCAAACACGCAAGCGTTGCTAACAATAAAACCATTGCAAGCGACTTGCAAGGTGACCAGGCCTGGGTCGTGAGGAGGACAGAAGCACCGCAAAACACCAGACTGGTATAAAATCGCGGGCACGCTACAACCATCAAACAAGCAAGTGTACGAACCTTGCTCCATTCTCCACTCGCCAGTGATAAGTACTTTAGCCCCACCCTCGGGGTAAGACCATTCGGGGGAGAAATCGGTAATTCGCGCCGAGACTGGAACGACCCGATTCCCTACAGGCGTGGAGAAATTGTCAGCTGTGTTACCCGCGGGGAGTGCGCGCGAGGAATTATTATTTAAGTCACTTGTGGCCGGAGTGCTAGTTTGCTGAGCAAAACCATGAACAGGAGAAGGAATCAGGCAAACCTCATTTGCCGTTGGTTGAGCAACAGTACGATTAATGGAATCATCTGCCATGTTTACTTCACTACAAACTTGAATGCCATTGTGAGAGTTCTGAGTGCTTGCTTCACTTACAACTGCCCCGGATGATGATTCAAGCGTGTTCTCATTGACGTTGACGAAACACGACGTCACCACCGTGGATCGCACTGGGCTAACAGGCTTCACAAATACATAAGACGTAGTAGATGACGGACCGGAAGTTGTCATTTGAGAGAAACAAGAGGTTTGTTCTTGGCTAGCGGAAGAGTATGGACTGGAAGAGAGCTGCGATGTAGTACAAGTACTAGAGGCATAATTCGACTTCGGGCTCCCAATGGAAGCTGTCAGACCATCACTACTTTGCTTGGGTGACGACGCGCTCATGCAGTCCGGAAAACAATCTGGAATCACATTGCTAAGATCACAGTCAAACATGTCATCGAACGCAAGTGATTCCAAAGGCGACAAATTTGTCATGTCCACGGATACATCATTTCCACCAGATTGTGGCCCCCCCGGAAACGGTTCCTGGCTCTGTGGGGGTGCCCCTTCGTCACTTTTTGCTGAATCAGTCAAATGCTGTCGGGACTCTCGTTCCACAGGGAGTGGAACACGAAAAGGGCCGTCGAACAGCGCATGCCCGGAATCTTGAATATTTTGCCCTGGAAGACCAGCACTCATAGAATCTGACCCAGAGAAACTGAGCCGGGCGCCAGCATCAGACATATAGCTGCCATAGTCGCTAGAGGGACTTGAACCTAACTCTGCAACGCGAGGATTCAAAACGATCGAATTCCACTGGATGCCAGCGCTGTGATTCGTCTCTCCTGAGAGCGGACTGATAGGGATCGCATTCGACATGTGATTTTCTGGAAGAAATTGGCAAGTCGATGTGGTCGGAACATTCGTTGCCCCACATCCTTTGTCTCCAAGAGAGTTTTGTACCTGGTACGATAATGTGGACATCGAAGGATGCGTTACCATGGGCACTACCGAAAGTATAGAAATGTCTCTTAAAGGCTGGTGTTGCGAAAAGCTTGAAGGACTGGTGACGAACACGTGACCATTACTTGGGGTGACGGCTGCCTGGCACGTGACGTCATCAACTGTGCCCGAATCATTCCCTTCATGGAACGTATTCTCTTCCAAAGATGGCGAACCCTCTCTGTGTCCTGTCACGGTCAAACGACCTTGGTTATTCTTAGTCACTTTGATTACTTTTATGTTCAGTTTTTCAGCCCGAGCTTTGGCTTGAAAACTCTTGTTTGGAGAAAAGGAGATTTTGTAAATCGCCTTGTTCCGTTTCCGCTGCCGTTTGCCTTTGGAAGACGAGTTCTCGCCTTCTTCTGAAGATGACGGTGATCCGGGGGGACTTTCCTCTGTTACCTAAAATCCAAAAGAATTTTAGAAGATTTTTAATTATAACTGATTCAAGTTTTAGGAGAGTTTCACCAGTAGAAAAAAAAAATGTTGCGCTTTCATCCAAGCCAAGTGGCCAATCCCCCAGCATGAGCTTAACTACAGCTGTTCAGTAAGAGTATTGCTACCCCACTCCCCTCCTGGACGGGATTTTAATTCATGGCACTCCAACCCTCAGTATTTTGAAAAATTTCCCAGACAGTTCTCTAATACCTGTTGCCTATTGGTACAGTTCCTAGGAGGGGAGCAACTGTAAATTAAAACACTTTGCACAAGCATTCAATACAGAAACCTAGCCATGTCTCGAATCAGGACCTCTCGACCGCAAGTCCAGCACACTAAAACTTAGGCCACCGCCGCTTCCATAAATTTTAATCAATGTGTCGCGCTGAAAACCGTTTTCCTTTACTGACCGTAACCTCAGGCTTTACATCCGACGAAACTCCCGAATCTGGAAGACAACAAAGAAATTGTCATGTTAAGCATGTTTTGGCCGTGAACTCAAAACAATGATCCTTGTTGCTTTAGAATACTGGAGCGGACGAAGAGATGCTCTTTTTTTTGACCAGTATGCTTCCCAAGAAGATAGAAGTGTGTATGAATACATGTCATAAAATCTTTTTAAAAGTTTCATGGAGGTTATAAACATGGCATTCAGCAGAATCCCCATTTATTTCGCAGTGTTTTTGCTTGTTACATCAATTCAAGATGTAGCGAGGATGACATACACTGGATGTAAATTTTGGAATACAGAACCGTCTTCCCAACATTACATCTTCTAACCCTTCACTCCTAACATCAGGATGTGAATTCTCCACACCGTTCTCTATACATTTACTAAGGTGCTGACATGGAGAATTTGTCTAAGAATAAAGAGCTTCTTCAGTTGGTGATCATTTCCTTTATTCTCATGACCTTGATGTGTGATTCTGGGGTGATATTGTACGGAGAAATTAGATGCTTATCACTCTCAGGGGTCAAAGGGTTCAGGAACACCCTCACTACTTACAGATGGCTTCCAGCTGTTGTGAGATGTCATCACGGCTGTCAGGCGATGAGTACACAGAAACTGTGATGGGTTTGTTGCATTCTTCCACCAAATTCAAGTAATGAACCAGTACTATTTTTGGATTCTGAATAATACAAATCAAATATGAAATTTAATTGAATTTTAGCAGTGATACATAAACCACTCCTTTGCCTGAATCTAAAACCTAAATCCCCTCTCTAATTTCCATCTACTTTCAAACATAATAGCTAGGAAAATATGTCAGACATAGTTTGATGCTACTCTGGTTTACAGATTTAATGAATGTAACCGAAGAAGTTACAATTCATAGACCCAACGTTTCGACACTCCTGCCTAGTGCCTTCATCAGGGGTGATCTAAACGCTGCAACAAGAGGTCCTTTTATATGATCACTAATTAGCGGCCTTTTTTTTTTTTTTTTTTTTCTGACGAGGTGTAAATAGGCGTCTGGAAGCAAACCGCCATCGTCACGATTTAGAGGAGCGTGGGCGGAGTTAATATGCCAAGCCTCCAAACAAAGGCGCTAGTGGTAACGCCGATTAGTGGTGATAATTTTAGAATTATCCCACCCAATTGTATGGTTAGTTAGGCAAGTGTTTTGAAACGTTGGGTCTATGAATTGTAACTTCTTCGGTTACATTCATTAAATCTGTAAACCAGAGTAGCATCAAACTATGTCTGATAGTCTACCTGGTTGCCATGTGAACTTTAATATATAGGAAAATATGTTTTTTCCTGACTTGAGAGGATCAATACATTGTGGTCTCTTACGACAAGAAAAACGTTTAAAATAATCGCTTGCTGGATAAGAATACTCCCATAAGGTTCTGTGTTAACTTTAGTTTCTTTAAATGTTATTTTTGGGGGAGGGGGGAGGGGGAAGGTGAAGGTGAAAACAATGAGGGTGCTGTGGTGATAGGCTTTACCCTCCCTTCCACCCTCTCCCCACCCCCCCAGGTTGTATTCTTTACCTGACACCTTACAGCTGTAATTATGATTGAGGCAGTAAACAGAGGATAAGAAACATGATAAAGGGCCTCATTGTCAGGGTTGTAAAGATATATGTAACCCTTCCAACCCAAAGGCATGGCACATCGGATGAAATGAATGGCTTAGTATGGTAAGGGATGAACATAGAAAGCAATTTCCTAGAAATCAAGATAGAAAAATTACGTAGCAACTGAAGAGTACCTGCAGCATCCAGTAGCAGCGACGATGAAATGTTGGTACCAAGGCAGAATGGGTGTATAGTACACTCAAACACTGCAAGGTAAAATATGCAAATTGCTTAAATACTCCATCTTTTATTGCTAAACAACAAGGTAAAGGTTGCAGTTAAGGTTTTTCCTGTGTAATGGTCCAGTACAAGTGAAGTTTACCACAGTTTGCAAGGTACAAAGAGAGGATATTATTTATAGCAAGTAAACCCCAGTTATTTCAGGAAACTTCCCTAAAAGTTTGTTGTAACAGATTTTACTTCTTGCTTGAGAGGGAAACTGTTGAGTAGCATGTCTAGCTTGAGAACATAACACACTGACCTTTCAATGACTTAACCAATGACTCCTCAATCTAAAGCAAATTAGCCACTTAACTACCATATCTCTTGCCAAAAAGGGGTTTTAGAGCAATTTTTGACTGAACAGTAAAAGTGATCTACGACTTCCTTATTTCTGCTTTACTTTGCTGTGTCATTGGTCCAGAGGACTTGAGCCATCCTCTCAGCCAATCAGATGCAAAACTTGCCAGAGATTTTTGCCGTGTTTTACTGTATGTACATTTTTCGGTTAGCGCATATCTAAGCAGTACTGGAAAACCCATTGTGCGTGTTGGTCACCCAAGTTTTCCAGCATTATGGGTTCTCGTTAGCTCTTAGAGATATTTTCTCTCACTCACACTGGCCATTGTGATTTGTTTGGTTTTGGTTTCACGACTCTCAGTTCAGAAGCACTTAAGTACATTCTTTCAACCATTTACACCCTTACATCAGTATACATTTTCTCCATTCTGTTCTCTGCTGATCATTTCTTTTCTTCTCATGAGCTCAATGTTAATTTTAGGGTTGATACTTAAAGGAGAAAATAGTTAATAATCACTCTTAGGGGTTTAGGGGTTCACCTCACTACAATGAATACCATTCATTTAAGGCGACAAAGTTACCTCAATTCCGTCGACCTTTAGTTTTGTGTGATCCTCCCTTATTGTATTTCCTGATCTTCTCTTTTTCCATGTATAACCATCCTTGCGATAATTCTTCACCTAGACAATACATCAGAAGATCAGTGACCAAGAAAAAAAACATCAGGCAGAGGAATCATAACAACATTCAGCTTTGTGCTGTTTGAAACCTTTGTTACAAGCATCTTGGTAAAACTCATTCACCATTCTGACCTTTACCTACACCTGAGTCTATTAAGATCAAAAATACAGAAAATAAAAAGTTGGACAACCCTATCAGTAAGAGCCAGTGGCCAAAAAATAAAAATAAAGCAAAAACAGCTAACTAGTCAACCATTTTTAGGCCAATACTTTCCCTTGATTTCACTCTAAGGGCTGTTAAAAAATAGAAAAAAATTACTAGTATTCAAAAGGCATTTAGGAGAAATTTGTACAGTAGCCATTTCCCAGTTTTCAGTGGAATTGAGAGCATAATTTATCTGGAAGAGATCGAGATAGGTGAAATGATTCCCCGTTCAGAATATGCTTTAAGGGACAACTCCAGGTTTCCCATCTTCTGTTCATTTTCTTTATTTTTATTGTCTCTTGTGACAAAGAGATTGAGCTACAGCCAGTGCCACACAATGATAAGGTTCAATTTGGTGCAGAAAAAAATTTTAATCTTTAATAATGGTATATTTTAGGGTAAGTGCATATTTAATTTAACTACAAATGAAAAAGTGCTCTGCTTTACCTTGCTTCGATCAAAGAGAAACATGGATCCATTTTCAGGCCTGTTAGGAAAAAAATATTATTTTCCCTCAATTATTCAAGTAAAATTTAAAACTCTACATTACACATTTATACTCAATAATTTCCCTTAGGTGCAAAAATACATGTGGATAGTTTTCTTCAAACACAATGGATAGTCCCAGAAGCTCATAGTTTTCCTAAAGCAAAGCCTGTGAAAACTGTACACTTGGATGAACAGATAACATCAAAGCAAACATTAACCAGTCATCCACTAGGCAGAAAAAAATGTTTTCCTTCAGGGCCTGCCAGATGAATCATTGGTGTGCAATTAAATCATGTGTACATATGAAAATTAATTGCTTGTACAAAGTGGTCTAAAAACCAGTGTTTAGTTCCATACAATATTAATATGGATATCTCAATAACCCTGTAACTCCCATGAGTGACCAAGAGAGAATGTCTCCTTACAATATCAATACAATATCAACCAGATAAGAGATGAGAATAAAGAAAAATATCAATTTGGGAATAATTATTTGATCCACTAAATTCTCTGAACTAGCATTATAAGAATTGTATGGTTGACAGTAAGGAGAATTACATATTTGATCTGGGAGTTAAAGGGTTAAACATCCAAACAGTCCAACAAAACAACAAACAGTTCCTGATTAGGTCAGAAAAGATATGTTCTAACAGGTGACCTCAGTCTATGGAGTTGACCCATGCAAATAGAGATTATTTCATGGACAGGGCCAATGAAAAAAATTTCCATTCACAAGTTGTGATGCATAACAGAAATAAACAAGTGAGCACAGCAAATGAGTGAGAATTTTCCAAGCATTGCATCAAGAGAATAAACTTTGTTCAAGTAGTTTCCATGGTATGATGTTTTTATTTCATACACACTGAAATTTTGTCTCACTGACCAACACTTTCAAAGATTGGAAGCCATTTCTTGCCCTCACCTACAAAGAACTATCATTCGTGTCTCTGATTGGATGAACAATTTACTTTCACAGTTGTTCATTCAGTATGTAAGAAATAAATATGGTTCTGAGGACAAGACTGAATGAAGAGTGACTCAGCCAGACTTCTTCAGTGACTATGCCTCTCAGAACTGCTCAGCTACAATATATCTATCCTTTTAAACTCTAACTGATTCACTTTACCTGTCAGGAACTGTTCTTGTCACCCAGGTTTCATGGTTGCTAAGGCTTGTTAACAAAGACAAAACCTCCTAAAATAGAAAACAAAAAATATGAGTAATTTCCTTGATGATAGTCAACAGTCCTAAAATACTGGTTTTTGTTTTGTTGTGTTTACTTTCAAAATCCAAGCACAGATAGTTTGAATTTCAAACAATAAAATACCAGGAAACAAACCAGAGTGGATTGGTTTTTTAGCGAAGACCAGAAACACAGTAAAGTTAAAACTAAATTTTAACCCTTTTACTCATATGAGTGATTAGCGTCTAATACCATATCACCTAATACCATATCACCCCTGAATCACACATTAGGAAATGTATAACGAACAGAATGGAGAATATGTATACTGATGTTAGGGTGTAAAGGGTTAACTTAAGGCTTCTGGTTGGTAGAGTGATTGGGACTTTCCAGAAACACATCCAAGGTGCCAGAATAGAATGTCGAAAATGTAAAAAAGCTGTACCATGCTTCCTTATTAAGTCACAGTTTATCCACTTGATTTAATGGTTCTTTAAAACTCCCACTCATAACTCTCGGTTTATTCAAAAGAAACACACATTAAACGTCTCGTAGTAAGCGTGTGGAACAGTACCATATATAGGTCGATAAAACATGTGCTACATACATGTTTGTTTGTTTATGTATAGATTTATTCAAACAAATTCACTTATTAATGTCAATCAAGTTAAGAACAGCTTAAGTATCAGACAGTTTCCAACAAGAACTCAAATTTAGGAAGATCTTAAAAAAAGGATTGTCTATTGGTAAACATAAGTTTAAAATGAAAAGAAAATAAAATAAAATAATCAAAGCCGCTGTTGAATACAGATTAAGATGTCTAGAAAGCTATTTCTGCCAACTATATATGATAGCAAGACCTAAAGTAGACAATTATAAGCAATAAACAAATGCTAAATATGCAGAATTGAAAAGGAAATTTTTGCATGACAAAGATCTAACTTAATTTACCGTGTTGTAAGAAGACTACAGAACAGTGCTAAATATAACTTTTCATTTCCCATCTGCACACCAAAAGTTTCAATCAGATATTTTAAACCCCCAAAAATCTTAATATTGTTGCCATGTAGAAGAAGTTTTGCTTTGTTGATTACAAACTCAAGAATTTGATGCATATAATACACATGATACCACGATCAGAGTTCCAATAATAACAAAGGTGTAGTTCAATATGGATAATTCAGGCACCTTTAGTACTCCCACAAGACAATAAGCCAATTAGAAAACCAAAAACAATAATAATATGAAAAAAGATGCTCGCCAAGGTATTACCATTTATCTAAATGCTGTCTTGGCTTGGTCATTACCTAATGTAAGAACTCTAAAATCCGTCTTTTTAAACAATCATAAATTTAAAACATGCCAAATAGAACTTACAAAATAAGCTGATAAGACTAAAATTTAGAAATCTATTTAAGACTTTCATGAATAATAAATGTATGGTCTGGAAGGAAAACTTAATGAATTAAAATGCAGAAAGAATGTTGTCCAGCTTTGAGACTTAAAACCACGAACACATCAGCTTAATTCCTTAGAAGAAAATAGGAAATCCATTTCTTGCCAGAAGATTTATTCTCACCAATAATAAATAACAATTCCACAAAGTTATTTTCAGGTTTGGCAAATTATTTTGCTCAAGTGGGTGGGTTAATGGATAAGAAAATGAGTGAGAGACGAGCAATAAAATATTCATTTCGCAAAAATTTTTGAATAGGAAAGGCCTACAGGCAATTCTTGCAACATTTTTCCTAGAAACGGTTGGAGACCACACTGCTGATTTTCCTAACAAACACAATTTGAAATTCGCTTAGGTAGAACGCAAAATAAACCGAAGTTGAGATTTTAAGCAGTCAATCATCAAACAAAATGTTTGTGTAGGTCGCCAGATAAAAACAAGTAGTTTTTCTAACGTACCACCACTGTGTACACCACCAAATTTTTATCTTGATATAAACGTTTCATGAGCTTTCCGAGCAATGTAGTACTAGATGGTTTATGAAAAAGACCAAGATCAGGGCCGATGAACCGCGAAAATGTTTGTTTAACTATCGTCTGAACGCGTGTTCGTTGAGGAAAGATACAGCTTAACTCAACATCTGGAGAAAATTGTTATCATCTCTGTAGGCAGGAAAAAGCGAACCAAATTTCAGAGCTCATTATTATTCTACACATTCTCATCTGTGTAAGACTATTACCTTAAGAATTAAACTATTGGAGAAGAGTAAATATTCGACGTGAATCTACAGGGTTAACTGTCAAATGTCACGTATGGGCACTCGAGCTTTGAAATTATCCAATTCATAACATAAGGGATAGTTTTATTGAAGTTTTTAGATCAAACACACTGATGGTAAATCGAAAGCGAAACACCATAAAAGCCCTGTTTCTAAAGATGTACAAAAAAAACTTTCAAGTCTCGTTGACATTGATTAAAGACCAGAGATGACATTTTAGTGAGATTGAATCGAACGAAGGCCTCAACTGAACGGAAACTAAGAAGAGAATGAACGTCAAGCTACCTCGTTACTGTTCCATTTGTACTTGACCGCCGCGAAGTCATCAGCTTTCTTGATTTTCGCTAATTTGTCAGGAAGAGCGATTTCCGAGGTGTTTGACTGCTCTCTAAAGTCCTGTTCGGCTGTCATTCCAAGATTTCCAAGGAGATTTCACCGCCAAATTTATCGCCCGGCAAGAGAGCGCAACGATGTCATCGCTTCGCACACTGCAATCCAGTGGCCAATTTGTGCTCATGCTAGTTGATGGCCCGTCGAAATTAATCTGGCCAAGATTATTGGATGATAACTAAGAGTCATGGAGGAAATCACTTCTTCACTTTGCGGCAGATAACACACCTGCCTGCCGCCATCTCTGTTCCCTACTATAATGCAAGTGACGCTAGGTTGAGCCTGCGAGCAAAATTTCACAAGGCTGCTCTGGACCAAATACTACTTCAAATATCGCATTTCAAGTGTACTAAACTGTCCCACCCTTGCCACTCCTCCATTCATTAATCAATCCTATTTGCCCCCCTCCACCCCCCAAACCCCACGATCTAGGCATCAATTCTAGACCATTTCTATTTTTTTACTTCAGCTCTGATATTTCGATGTTAATTCAAATAGTATCCCATAGTTCAAAATTTCTTTTTTCATCGCCCCTTTGATTGAAATGTTTTGAAATTGTAACGAAAAAATTCCTTCTTTGGTCACAACTGAGAAATTTTTCACCGGTTACGTGATGCTCCAAGTGGAGAATGAGATGAACGATTATAATATCAGTGGTGGATCTAGAGGAGGGGCCTGGGAGGCCCGGCCCGGACGCTTTATTTTGGATAAAAATTAAAAAAAAAAAAGAATTAGAGAAGGAAGAAAAGCCGGCAGGGCAGTCGACGAAAAACCGGCCCCCCTTAGCTCAAGGTCTGGATCTGCCACTGACTATGTTCCTAAATTGGTCCTGATCAGCAAAAAGACAGAGACTATCCCACAAAGTTCTTAAATTTTCCAATCTTGTTATCCTCCTCTTGTTATTATAAACAAAGTTATTCCTAGAATACTTAGTTTTAAAAATTATTCACCAAACATGGCCTTCAGGGTTTTAATCTCTCGATGGAAAGTAGGTTGAAACTTAAAGACAATCTTTTTTTGGAAGCAGCCAGAAAATAGCAATTTGTTTGAGTGAAAATGGCAGATGTCAGATTTACATTCTCTGAACCTGTGCTGGAATGAATAAATATTTTCTAGGGCATTTATCAACAATTGTTGATCATTTTCTCTTACTGTCTTGAACTTTGTGACAACCACGTTATAAAAACAATGTAAAATCAAGCTAATAATTTCCTTTCTCCCTAAACATAAATGCACAAGGGGTTGGGGATAGTCTGTTCTATGGAATCAGTTTTTAAGGAGGAGCAGAAAAGTGAGCAAAAGAAGAGAAAAACTATGGGGGACTGGGAAGAGTGAAGGAAGGACTCTTTTCCATTGATGATATCCTGGCACATTAGACACAAATCACTGAGCAACAAAGAGCAGTTTCCTTCACAACAGCAGCAATATTGTGCAACTCTCAAGAGGTCAGAACCATGCAAAAATTTCAGTTAACCCATTACATCCCTAAGATCACCATAGGACTTCTCGATACTGTCCTTTGTACATTTCTTACAAGGAGAATTTGTCTAACAATCAAGAGCTTCTTGAGTTTGTGATCACTTCCTTTATCTTTATGATCTTAATGTTTGATCAAAGGGTAATGCTGTTGGGAGAAATTGGATGCTTATCACTCTGTGGAGAAAAGGGTTAAATTCAATTTTTAAGAATATGTTTAATGGGAGGGGAGTGTGTAAAAGAGTAATTTAAATTCACTGTGTAGACAGTCGATATGTTACTTTGTAGAAACAAACAACAGTTTAAGTTGATCTTCCCCCAATCTTATCCTTGTTATCTCTGGGAGCAAAAAAAAACAAAAACAAAAACAAAAACAAAAACAAAAATACAAAGCAAAGACTCAAATAAACAAAAAGTCATTACATAGTTTAAAAAAGTGTTTTATTTCAGAGATGTAAGGAAGGGAAAATCAATGCCACTAACCTGGTTGTACATTTATTATAATCTAAAACATTAAATTCTTGGAGGGTGCAAAATTATGAATGACATGTCTGGGGACTTTCTGGAGTACATGGATGAAGCTTACAGTAAAGCAAATTTTTATTCATGTTCTATTTCTGCAAAATACCTGCAGAAATTTGAAATTACAACCACTGTAGTTAATTACTTAAATTTCAGGTCCAAGGTTTACTAGATGCTTTTTTTACCAGATATTCAAGGTTTAGTTAATTTATGATTTTCTTTGTTGCACTGTCACAATAACTACATTACTGGGTTAAATACGACAAAAATAAGGTACTGAAAAGTAAAGTCAGTTTTACGCAAAGGCTGCAATAATCATTACAGTACTTTTCTAGACTTAAAGAATTCCATGAGAGACATTTATAGGACTGACATATTCCTGAAGGAGACCTGGGTAGAAAGTCATCCACTCCATGCACAAGAAAAACTTTTGAAAAAGAAAAGCTATCATTTTGGTTGGGGAACTAGTCAAGACCATTTTTTAATTTTTTACTGAATAGAAAGGGCTATAATCTGTAGAAACTGTGCAAAACAATTGTATCACCCTACACAGACCAAAAGCAAAGATCAAAAAAGACCAAGCCTATAAGCATTATTACACAATCCAGAGGTTCCCTTAAACAATTTTCTCTGTGATCCCACAGTGGGAGAACAAATTTCATAGCTGTGAGTACAATTGCAATTTCAAATCAGTCATTCTTACATATTACCTTCCCCCTCCTCCCTCCCCCTTGCATGTATCTACCCTTCCCTCAGTATACTTCCTTCATCAAATTACGTCTTGACACTTTCCCTCCAAGGATGTCATTATTTATTCTCCTTACTGTCTGCCATGTGATGTTCTTTCAAAGAATTTGTTGGTGAATCAACTAATCATGCCTTCAATGATATTTTTCTTCATTCTCATTACTTGTCTGCTTGATATTGTATTGATATCGTAGGGAGAAATTCTGTCTTGGTCACTTGTGGGAATTAAAAGGTTAACAAGTTTTGACCTAGAAGTTATTCATCATTCAAGTCTCAGGCAAGATCAAAGTAACAAGTACTTTCTCCTTACAGTTTCAAGACAATGCCAAGCAAACAGCTGGATGTTGCCTCGATATCATGTGAAACTCTTTTCACTAATTTACAGGGTAATGCTCATCACCAAAAAGGGAGAATTTCCCATTGGATCTCTGGAGTTAAAGGTTGACCTTAGCATTACTCCAAACTACAATCACTTTTATTTCATTTTAAAACAGTTGGATGTAATTTTCAAACAGGATATATATTTTAACTACTGGTCATTACGACATATGTACAGCAACCACTTAATAATGCTTTTATTAATTAAGATAAAAAAAAAAAAAAAAAAAAGAACCTTGATCCTTAAGTCAGTAGTAAGAATAGTTTATATCAAATATGAGTTAAGGTTTTTTAGTAGGAGCACTAGTAGGGTTGCTTTTACCAGGATTGTTTGCTACCACCCAAACTGAAAAAAAACAAAAGAAGTCAGAAAATAAAAAATATCATCAACTACCTTAAAAACTAATGCACCAATCAATTACAAGCTTAAGATTAAAGTAATTAGTTCCCTTATGTGAACAGATGGCTTGGAAGAAAAGGTTCACAAGGTCTAGGTTTTAAAAGCTTGGTCAATGTGTAGAAATTCATGTTGCTGATTTTGCCTGTGTTTCCCTGGCAATTCATTGGTATGTGTTGTACAACATACTTTGTGAACAGAGGCATGGATGACTTTACAACATCATGAATGAAGGTAACTTGTTCCCTAAGTACCCAAGATATGGCTCTTAAACTATTACTATAAACAGCACCTGGGATTTCTGTAAAACATCGTATATTTTTTTAAAAAAATCTTTTAGGCTTTTAAGCAGTCATTGTATCAGAACCCAACAAAAATCATACAAATGACATTGGAATAATATACATTTAACCACCATAATGAAGAAACAAGGATGAAATCTTGATTGACTTACTGACAATGGCTGCAATGATTACAGCAATCACCACAATAAGAATTATCCACATCTGACAGAATGAAATAAAAACAACACACTTAACTATGGAAATCAGACGTGCATTCTATAACTTTGTCAAGCCTGATGTTTCCAATTGGTATCCACACTTTCTGGAAATAATTCAGCAAAAAGAGCATTTATACAAAAGCGACTCTTCAGTGACTATCTTGTCATGTAATGATAATTGTAACCACAAAAATCTCTATGATATAGAGTACTTCACTACAGAGTGAAAGTGTCTTAGAGTGCCTCTACCCTTACTAAAGTAATTTAGACAAAATTAAGCTGTCAAATTATGGGAAGTGAATTGTGATTCCAGCTAGATTCCATTGAGCCAATTTGTGCCAAGGACCAAAGTAAGCAAAGATGACAAAGAATTCAAATGAAGGTCAAAGTATATTTGACAGATTTGTAAATAAGTGTGACTTCAGTAACAGTAGTCCCACCATAAAGGTAGCTTCTGTATGATAGCTATGATCATGATCATTTGCGTAATTGGGGTGGGTTCTGAACTTCAATGAAGAAAAAAACCAGTATCAAAACCATACACTTCTTATGATATTAGTATGGAGAATTTTATATTTGATCAACTAATAATCTCCTAATTAATATTTTTCTTTATTCCCATCACTTACAGTATCTTCTAGGTATTGTATTGATATTGTAAGGAGAAATTCTTTATTAATCACTTGTGGAAGTTCAAGCGTTTACTTTACCTTGCAGTTCTGCCACCACATTTTTCGCTTCAACCTTGCTGCACTATGTTCAAATTGTGATGCTCCAGCTTGCAATTGATCTGATTAATATAAAAAGTAAAACTGTCGAGCAGATATTTTTAAATTAATAAACATACCTGTAATTCTTTTCCAAATTATAATTAGTACCAGATAAAAGACACATACACTGTAATTGTTTGATGACCACTTTAAAAGATATCGTATGTGCACAAAAGGGATTCCCATTTCAACAAAATGTTCCACTTCAAATTCCTCAAATGTTTTGGCAGGTGCTCAATCATCCTAGGTAGCTCTGTTTATTCTTTAGAAAGGTGACTGATGAGCTTATTGAAGTACATTTTCAAACAATTTCAACTCCAAAAACAAATTATGAAGGAAACTGTCAAAGAGATGAAGGATTTCAACCGACTCTTAAAGTCCCTTGTCTTTCAAAAACTGGTGTCAACAACCTTTCAAAGAGGCTTTGAGTTTTTTTTTTTTTTTAACAGTAACATCCTACAGAACCCAAAGGGTAACTTGCATTCCTGCAAAAATTTGCAATACACTTGATTAAAAAAAATACATATATGCAATTGTGACTGTTCTGAGAAACATTCAGAAAGGGATCTACCTAATATTACAAATCACAAGAATGGTAAAGATGTGTTTTATTTCCTGTTTACTGAGGAAGTATTTCCAATGCTATCACCAATTCTCAGCTGTCCTAAACTGACTAAAAGTAGAATGCTCTATAATTACCATATTGAGTACGAATTTGCGTAAAAATTACAAACATTTTTCGGTGCTTGACAATGTAAAAACGGCACGTTAAGTTCTGGTATGTTAATTCTCATTTGTAAAGGAAAGAACACGAAACTTGTTTTCATGCCTTGACCAAGTAATTGATCAAGTATATTAGTACAACGCAAGATTGTTTGTTTATAGAATAATCGAAAACTGTAGCCACCGCAATCAAACTTTGACTAACAAACAATAATCTCTAGTATTCACAAAATTAATAAAATTACGACTGTTGCCACTTTGAGAGGCACGAAAAAGTTAACTTACGTCATTTGGATAACAATGACTGATTTCAATCTAAGATTATACTATTTAATATGGATCGCTCATTACAATGAGTCATGAAAACATGGAATGGTTGATTTTAAGTTATCCAATATAGATTTTTCAACAAAATTTAAAAATTTTTCTTGATTATGTTTTACAGAGAAACAAGAGTTACGAAAAACTTGCCCGGTAAACAAGTTTAAACGCCCACAAATAATAACAGACCATGCTCCCTTCCCTACCTGCTCGAGAATCAAGTTCTGACAATTTAGCATCTCTCTCCAACACTTTGTCGACATTCACTTTCATGATGTCGACGACCTGATAGAAGTCAAAAGACAAATACGTCAAGCATTCAATTCGAGCTTCGATGGAATAACAACGTTAGAAAACGATAGAGGATAACTTGACGGAAGACTTAAAGGTTTTAGATATATGAAAATTCAAGACGGAAGACTTAAGCAGTAAATGAATTTCCTACAACGTGAAAAATTCTTAAATGGGGCTGTTCCAACGAAACAGATCAGTATTAACACATTCAAAATGTTGAAATTACCTCATCCACTTGGGCTTGCGTTTGCTGTAACCTTTTGTTCGACCTGAAATTTGAAGAACCAAAAAGTTTTCACTTTGAGAGAAATAGAACTTGGCAAACAACTCCATTTGGGTTGTGTGATCTATTTCATACTCTTGTAACTGCCGCCAAATTTACGCAACCGATTTGTAACGAAAACATAAAGTACATTTGACGAATTTTGCCGCGAAGTGTAGGTTTTTTTTAACAAAAACAGATTATACTTACATTTTTCCAATTTGAAGTACGCAACCGAATCAAAATCAATGCAGCAAATGTATGTTAGAGCTGATCTAAGTTCCTTTTCCACCACCAGATATACTTGGTACTAGGCAGTGACGTCATCTACACTGTGAACCGCAATTTAGTTTACAGCGGAGCTACCCGTTGTGTGAAAACGAGGCCACCGGTCCGAAGTTTTGCACGTGTGGAAACTTACATCAGACATCAGTTGAAAACTTATAAAAAATTTCCCCAAGTGGAGGAGATCGCGTACCTTCTTGATGTCCTGGTTATTTGGAGTTAACAAGCCTCCCCCACCTGGTGAGGGGCCTCCGTTGATCCCGGGTTCTCCGCCGGGAGGAGACGATAAAAGTGGAGGAGATGAAGGATCGAAGGATGACAACTCAGAGAATGAAGGCGCCAAAGGTGCCCCTGTTTGGAGAAGCTTCGATCCGTCGGGTCTTGAAAGGGCTGCTAAAGCTGCAAGGGAACTCGAGAAATCACGTAAGTGTGTTGATCTGACGTCTAGAGACAACTTGCTGGCGATCTTTTTGGTACACAATATAGTGACTCGTACTCGTGGCAGAAAAATAGCTGATGTTTTAGTTACGAATAAAGTTCGATGTGACTCAGGAGTGATATTGCATTACTCTTGAATCCCAACACGATAGCTATTTAAGATTCGATAAGTAAGATTGCTTCTGTCAGCGAGAGGTTTTATGTCAAATGTTTCACATTTATTTACCCATCGGTCTTAATCAACAGATTTTATCCCTATCCCCACCCCTGCCATGCCTCCACCCTTCACCCTCATAATTTCTGTATGATTTATGCAATGCAACAGCTCCCTCATAATAGCATAACTGGCATTTCAGCTGACTGATGTCACAATAAATTTCTATATTTGTAAGACTGTGGCACAATGGTTACAAGTCACCTATTAATATAGAGTAAGGGGATTAAAAACTGCAGTGACATCACAAAATCCACTTAAATGACCAAATGAGTAAACGGAAAATGTTCCAAGTCCAATTTAAGAATAGCTGATGGCACAACCACAAATATATCAACTCAGATATGTATATCACCAGTATCAATGAACTAAATGCATGTCCACTGAGGTCAAACAAAAGTTTTTGTTCATTGAATATAGTCTGCAGTGTTGTTGTCCTGTTAGAAAGCAAGGACCCGGAGCCTAGGCTTTAACAAAAGAGGTTTCCCTTTTGGTTTAAAATAATTTTTTACTATCTTAGATTTTTTTGGTAGAGGATGGTTGAGGAAGGAAAAAAATTTCCACCAAGGGGAAGAATAAAAGACAAGGGAAGGGGAGGGTGAGGAAAGAATTTGTCTCCTCCCCTGGTCTGGAGAAAAAAATCACAGACTTGTGATTCTAACTTGCCTTTAACGATTAGACCTTTGTATTGCAACCTTGAGCAGTGTTATAATAGGGCTCATTACAAGTGAAAATAAGAAAGAGTCTTCCCATAGGCATACAAGCATACCTGCCTGAAAAAGAAATATTTCGTGAAAAGGAGGCCTTTTGGAGAGGTAGGTGAGAAACTAAGAGGAGAAGATAGACTAATTCTATAACTGCACATTTTAGATCACTCGAAGGAGGCTCTTGAGATGGCAAGAGTTCAGGAAGCAACAAAGCAATTGGAGCAACAGCGTAAAATTAAGGTGAATAAATTTTATTGATACTTTACATAGGGATCTGAGCAAAATGATGAGTGTGCATTGTTTGTCTATTTTTCTTTTGGTCAAGTGGTGTTTTGACCCATTAACCTTTGACTCCCAAGATCTGATTCTAGCTGCTTAAGACATTTCCTCGTTAGTTAGCCAGGGAAATATCTTGTTAGATCAAGATAACTTTTACCTGATAGGTTTGAGTATTCTCATCACCTGTTTGTTTGACAGTATAGAGATATCATGAGGAGAACTTACTTTTAATCCCCCATTGGACTTAAAGAGTTAAAGTTATCAAGTCCATTTATAGCTCTAGGGGTCTTAAGGGTATATGGTAATTTTTGCATCTCAACACCCATCTTGGTTTACTCATTTTCCATTATTTTTCCATATTAAGTATGTCCAAAACTTGAGGCAGCTGCAGATATTCATGTTGTAAACTTTGAAAAAGTTTCAGTTACATTAGAAGAAATGGTCTGATTAGTACCCCAACAAACCCCTCCCCCTCAGAAGGAGAGGCTCTCCTGCCCCACCAGGCTAGGCTTGAGTAATCCAAACGTTTCACTCAGAAATGATTAATATGTAAATTTTCCCTGCATTGCTGGTGCACTTCCTCATAAAGAATTGATGAGAAAAGATAAATTTATCATTTGTAGGTTGTTGGATTGATACAACACCAAATTCTCGATGCTGATCAGAGGAAATCTATAGAAAATAGAAAGGAGAATTACAAATGAAATCTCGGGAATTGAGGAGACTTGATCTGAGTAGCTTTCATTGATTTACAGGAATATGAAGCAAGCATCCAACAGATACAAATGGACAAAGTGAGAGTGGAACAGGAGGAAAAGAGAAAAACCCTTGCAGCAGAAACTCAACAACATCAACAGGTTAGTAACAATAATTTAACCCCTGCCCAGTATCTCACCCAAACCCCTTCCTCCTGGACATCTCAAGCTCCTGACTAATATTAATAAAATCCCTGAAATCTTCAACCCTAAAAACCAGCACATCAGTATGCGTAGATGTTTTCTCCCTACTGTTCTGCACACATTTCCTAAGGTGCTGACAAGGAGAATTTGTTTGACAATCAAGAGCTTCAGTAGTTTGTGATCATTTCCTTTGTTCTCATGACCCTTAATGTGTTGATCAGGGGTGATATCATTAAGAGAAATTAGATGTCAATCACTTTTAGGGGACAAAGGGTTAACCCTCTTAGGCTAGTATCTCAAAACCCTCCTATGTTTTTAACATGATAACTTTTTTAATATCCCAATATTTACCATCTTTGCTACAGTTCAAGTTGATTTTGGCTCAACCCTTTTGAAGAAACTAATTATCTTTTATTTGCTTGTTCATCAGCGTGCTCAGTACCAAGACCAGCTAGCAAGGAAACGTTACGATGATCAACTTTCACAACAGGTAACATACATATAGGCCATCATTGAGGGTGAAGCAGGGGCTACCTTGACTGCAGGCCCCTTTCCATAGTTTTTCTAGTTTAAACTTTACATTCAGTATTTAACTGACAAGTTAACAAAGTTAATCAATAGGGTCTTGGAAAGTAATCTTGGTCAACTATGTTGTTTCTTGCTTTGACTTGTGTCACATTACAAATGACATGAACCCTTTTCAACCTAACACTTGTTTCTAAATTCTCCATTCTCTTCTCCATTCAATTGGTTTGGTACTGACAAGGAGAATTTGTTTAACAATCAAAACTTCTTAGGTTGATGATCATTTCCTGTATTCTCATGATCTTAATGACTGAATCAGCAGTCTCACTGTAAGGAGAAAGTAGATGCTGGTTGCTCTTAACATTTATGGGATTAATTAATGGATACCAGGGAAGTAAGAAATACATTATTGAAAGTGATGCCATTTTTTGTAGATATTAACAATTTGAAAAATATTCTTTTAGCGTCGTATGAATGAAGAAAATTTAGCTAAACAGGAAGAGTCAGTGAAGAAACAAGAAGCCATGAAAAGAGGTACATAAGGCTGTTTTCATAAAATAAACATAGTTAATTTGCTTTGAAACAAAGATTAGACATTTCATTTGACGTTTTATCTTTGCAAACTTATCAGTTTAAAAATTTTTCTGGAATTCAAGCTTTAATCAAACAAAGTTTACTATTTGCTCTGATGTGGGCCAAGGCTCAAAATGTCAGCTTTGAAACTCTTTTCAGTGGCCAATTTACATTATCAAGTTGAATGCAGTTGATAAAACAAAAACTGCCTTTAAATAATCCCCGCCAATGCAGCCCCACAGTTTTAAGAAACTAACCCCCTTCATTCAATGGTTACTGTGATATTCAGCAATGCATTTATCACACAACCCACAATTTATTTTTTAAACTGAATTGATAATTATACCAGAATGGTCCGTGATAGTGGCCAACTCTAACAAGACTTTGGTTAAATAATAGTATGTTACTACAATCTATATTGATCATCTCATTACATCCCCTTTGCAGGCACAATTGAATATGAAGCCCAGATAAAACATGACAATGAAATGAAAAGACTGGAAGCAGAGCTCCGTGGCAAGTAAGTGATAAATCAGTTTTCTAAATTTCTAAGAAAGCTATAATGTGTTCCTTCTAAATTACCAGCTTGGAGGGAGTGAGCTTGGGTGGGGCTCTGGAGTGGATAATTTTTTATTATCTGAAAGAAGAAAAAACTAAAATAAAGGGTTTGTTAAATTCTGTAAGCCTTTATGCCTTTGATGATACCTTTGTACCTCTCTTCCTTCCAGCATGTCTTCGCCTGACTCTGAAAATGTCTGATTCTGTCCCTTTTTGCAGTTGACATTCCCCAAACCCTTCAACTCTTGCGAGTGACTAAGACAGAATTTCTCCTTACGTTATCAACACAATATCAAGAAGACAAGTGATGAGAATAAACAAAAATATCAATTAGGGGATCAATAGTTGATCCACTATCATATTTCCCAAACTAACATCATAAGAATTTTATGGAAGACAGTAAGGAGAATTACTAATGAGATCTTGGGAATGGGAGAGTTAACCCTTTACACCCTAACATCAATATCCATATTCTCCATACTCTCCTCTATACATTTTCTCCAGTACTGACAAAGAGAATTTGTTGAACAATCAAAGACTCTCCAGTTGGCGATCATTTCCTTTGTTCTCATGATCTTAATGAATGATTCAGATATATTACTGTAAGGAGAAATTAGATGCTGGTCACTCTCAGGGTTTAAAGGGCTTGCCTCGTTGGAACTGTCTTCAGTGATCACCCAACATATCATTTGACATTATAACTGGGAGCCATCCAAATTTTTGTCAATCATTATAGTTCATAATTTTGCTTAATTTTTTTTGTGTTCTCTTTACAAAAATATGTACACAATTAAATGAATTGTGGATAGATTGATAAAGTGATTGACTAATTAATGACTGATTGATCGGCATACCCATTATTTTCAGAGCTAAAATAGAACGTGAGAACAAGGACATTAGAATGGAACAGATTAAACTTAAAGCTGCGGAGCAAAGAGAGACTGTTCTGCAATCAATCAAGTAAGTGCCGATTATGCACTTTGTCAGGGATTCTGGATAAGAGAGAAAGTAAATTTAGAGCCCAGTCATCAAATAAAGAAAGATGTTATTCATTATGATACACATGTGGAACACAGAACAACTTTCTGCATATCCCATAATTCCTCAGGAAGAACACAGAATATGCAGCTTGGTTTCCCTGTAACTATGTTCCAGTGTTACAGATAGTGACTTATTTTTGTTTTACAGGACAGCAGGTAGCATCCTTGGAGCAGGATTTGATGCATTCATCTCAGACTGGGATAAAATATCTGCCACGGTAAGACTGATGCCTTCATGTACACATTTGTGAATGACTTATGAAGTGGATTCAGTGGTGAACACCCCCAAAGGGACTCTCCTTGTCCACCATTTCCTGGTCAGATTTGAATAAGAAAGGTTGAGTTTTGATACAGCAGGAAAAACCAAAGGATCCAGGGGAAAGTTTTTCTATCAAGGAGAAGAACCAATAACATCCTCTGCCCAGATGTGACTGTGGATCTTTTAAATCACACTCCAAGGTGCAACAGAGGGAGGCAAACACTTTCACCACTTCCCTATCCCTTGTACCTTATGTACAGCTCTTGGGGTAGATTAGTGGAATTTCAGTTGTCTGAGTCATTGTTATATGCCTCTTTTTGCAGGCTGCAGGCCTCACCCTCCTTGCTCTTGGCGTTTACACCGCTAAATATGGCACAGGAGTCACAGCCAGGTGGGACATTCTGCACACTTTACTTACAAACCCTTTGAACCCTACAAGTGACTAGCATCTAATATATTCTTACAGTATCACCCCAGAATCGCACATTAACGTTACAAGAATAAAGGAAATTATCGTCAAGTAAAGAAGCTCTTGATTGTTAAACAAATTCTCTTTGTTTGCACATGAGGAAATGTATGGAGAACAGTATAGAGGATATACTTACTGATGTTAGGGTATAAAGGTTTAAATCATGTCAACTACCAAACTCCTTTATTATTTTTTTCTTTGCATTTATAGATTCATTGAAGCTCGCTTAGGGAAACCAAGTCTTGTTCGTGACACATCAAGATTAAGTGTTTTTGGTACTTTGCGACACCCAGTTCAGGTAATAAAACCAGGACTTTCTCCTTTTTTTTCCTCTTCTTTGGTTTTTAGCTATGCCAGGATGTGCTAACTCTTATAATTTGTTTACTTTCCAGACTGTTAGGAAAATGTTTGTAAATTATGAAGACTCATTGCAAGGAATTATTTTGAGGGTAAATAAACGTTACATTTGGTCAATGGCTGAACTTGTTGATAATTTGAAGGATTTGAAGTGCTCCCATCGTAAGCGATAACAATCTTTTCCTTAATGAGGTTTTCAAATATTTTCTCGTTACAGCCCAGTCTTGAAAAGAGACTTCAAGAAGTAAGCAAAGCAACAGCGAATACTAAGAAAAACAAAGGACTGTACAGGAATCTACTGTTTTATGGTCCACCAGGGACTGGAAAAACGATGTTTGCAAAGGTGAGAAGACTAGATTTCAGATCGTAATTAAAAATTTGAATAGTTATGAAGAACAACTTCCTGAAAAGACCTGTCGGCCGACAGTCAGCCAACATCGGGCAGACAGACGGCCAGCCCTTTTTATAAGTGATTCAACGTTTACAGAGTAGCTTCATCTATTCCGCTCTTAGAAAAAAGTCATTTCGCTCTGACGTCAATTTTCAAAGTTTGCTTAAGCGACTGCCTAAATCAGCTTCAAGTTGAAAGAGTTTCTTTGGCTCGCCAGCGCAGCGCAGCGCAATAGTTTCTTTTCTGGACTGGCGTAAGCTTTGCTCCAAATCTCTTAAAGCTGCTGATACCAGGGTAAATTCTGGCGAGATGGTCGTTTTGGCCAGTAAAGCAACTTGACTTTTTCACATTATAACTGAAAATTCGAATATGAGCTCCGGAATTTAAATCCTGAATAAGCTATTGCTCCTAGAAATTGAAAGCGATTAAGCTAATTGTTTTAGAATAAATCCACTTGCCTTTCAAAACTTAACGACGAGACAAGCTCGAGTGTCTACTGGAAAATTATGCAGATACAACATATTTTTGGGAAACTCAGTCAAGTCACCATCTATCTCTAAATAGATAGCGAGTTGGTAGCCAATCAGAGTGTAGCATTTGTGACAGAACGCTTATACTTATTTGCACTTATCTTCCAGAGCCTTGCCAAGCATTCTGGGATGGATTATGGTATTATGACTGGTGGAGATATTGTTCCTATGGGAAAGGAAGGAGTGACAGCCATGCACAAAGTGTTTGACTGGGCCCAGACCTCTAGGAGAGGGTAAGAGGAAAAGATGTGATTTGATGCTGTTATCATGGCAATTCTTCGTGATTTCATTTTTTCCGTTGTGCTTTTTTTTTTTTCTTTCAGTCTTCTTCTCTTTGTGGACGAGGCTGATGCCTTCCTACGCAAACGTAATCAGGTAAGAATGTTCTTGGTAATTGAGAAAACTGCTCATCACCAAGTCAATTAAACAGACGTTCAAGCAATTTTAAACTGAGGATCGAGATTTTTCCGGGATTGCATTGGTTTTGCCTTACTTCGCCCTGTGATTGGTCCAAATAACTTGCGCGACTCTCTCAACCAATAGGAAGCAAAACTGAAAACAATCACGACTTGGTCGCCCGCGTTTTCCCGCGCTTTAGGCGGTTTGCTTTTTTTACTTTAAGTTCTCATTGGCTATTCTGGGTATTCTCCTTTTTGGCTGATGGGCCGTTGTGATTACTTTGGTTTGGTTTACGTCACTCAATCCAAAAGCGCTCCATACCGAAACCAATAGTAATTTGGTCACCCGCATTTTCTGCCCTTGGCGCAACTTAGTAAAAAGGTTTCTTTGACTCTTTAGGAAAAGATGAGCGAAGACCTGAGAAGCACATTGAACGCTTTTCTCTACAGAACTGGTGAATCTTCACGCAAGTAAGCTCTTTCAAATTTTTCCAATTTGTTGATGTTTAAAAATAACTGCATGCAGTGAATTCCTCGAGTTCCTTTTGTTGCATTCTTTTTATCACTGATTGTTAAATTTCTGCGATGATGGTCAGGTGTCACGACTGAATGATATTTATTCTTTCTTCCTTTAAGTTTACTTGTTTGTTTGTTTTTTTTTCGTACAGGTTCATGTTAGTTCTCGCTAGTAACCAACCTGACCAGTTTGACTGGGCCATCAATGACCGGTTAGACGAGATGATTGAGTTTGGTCTGCCAACTCTCGAGGAACGAGTACGTTTAGTCCGGCAGTATTTCGAGGAACACGTTTTAAAACCGGCCACAACAGGATCGCGAACAAGGTAAATTGCCAAGCAACTGGTAATTTTTGCAGTAGTTGTCAAGAGAGTGTCAGGAATAGTTCGGGGTTTTGTTAGTTTTGCTTCACTTAGTACCGTGATTGGTCTTGAGAACTCGCACCATTCTTTCGACCGATGATATGCAAAGTTGATACCAACCTGGACTTGGTCAATCGAGATTTGCCGCACTACAGCTTGATGTTTGTTTTTTCTTTGAATTTCATCGGCTCCTCGTGGTATCTCCCTTCTTGTTAGCAGTCTTTACCACTTTGGTTTGGTTTCGCGACACTCAACCCTCAGAAAACGCTCAATTTTTTTCACAAGTAATGGCATTTGTCTTCACATTTATTTTCCTGCACAACACTTCCAGCCTCAGTTATCTCTTTGGTCGGCCGTTTACGTGTTTCCAGTCTATTTTCGTATAATTCTTGATTTGATTTTCTTCACTTATTAGTCGTATGAAAATTGCGAACTTCGACTTTAGCAAGAAATGCCAGCAAATTGCCGAAGTGACAGAAGGTCTCTCTGGAAGAGAAATATCAAAAATAGCGATTGCTTGGCAGGTAAGTTTTGAGGAAATCGCTGGTGAAATGGTTTTTATTCAAGTATCAAAAATGAATCAGAATTTCTTTGGTTTTGTTCTACTTCGCTTTGTGATTAATTAGGACAACTCGAGTCACCGTTCAGCTCAACCAATCAGATGAAAAACTAAAAGCAGTCGTGATTACAAACGCGCCTTGGAGCAATCACCTGTGTTTACTCTGTGTAATCATTGGCCAATATAATCTTGATTTGCCTCAATTAATATTGACTGCAGCTCTCACGTCGTAATTGATTTTAATTTTGTAACACGCAATTGAAGAGCGCGCAAAATTGAACCAAGAAATTCGATGTTTTGATTTTGTTTATGTTTACGTTCAAGTCTGATTTAGGCTTTTTCTGTCATTCCAGGCCAGCGCTTATGGTTCGCCAGATGGTGTCCTCACAGAGGATATGATGGATGAAAGAGTGGAAGAAGCTGTACGACAACACAAGCAAAAAGTAGAATGGCATCAAACGGAGCCATTAACTGAAACAACTGCGTCAGTGACCACAACAGAGAAAAATAAAGCGTCCTCTCCGAAAAGAACTTAAATTTAACTTATCTTCATTAAATGATTTGGGAAATCTTTTTAATAGAGTGGAGGAAGAAGTGATAATTGCAAAATTTCTGAATATTTATCGTCGGCGACTTCCCTTATGCTTCAAGTGCCAGGGAGAAGGTTCACTGATAGGTCTCATGGGGTGTTTGAACAATTTATCAGGATCTTCCAGTAAGACGATAATAGAGAGTGCTGTCTGTGAATAGACAGTGACGGAAATGACATCTCTAACATTCACTTTTCATTTTGATTTTTTTGTTCTCGACATTTGGCCAGCTGGACATACTACCTGTTCAGAACACGCGTTTTGATTGGTGGTCAGCAGTTAGCCTGCGAACTGGCTCTCGTTATTAGTGTCAGACCTCTTGCACACTTTTCGCCGGCTCACTTTGCCCCAGGCCTTCGCGAGCGAAGGAACGCCCTTGCCGCAACTACCAAGCAATACCAACACAAGCTAAAGTCATCGCACATTTAATTTGCAGCTCTCCTGAGCGAGAGCGATGACTCGATATCGTTTTTCTAACAGATCACAGATTTATGCTCACACGGACTTATTGCCGCCCTTTGACAACTGAGCTTAATATTAATAATTTTAATGAAGTAATTAAATAAAATTCGTCGAACATTTATCGCAATATTTCGACATGAATGATCGATGATTCTGGAATCGTCTTTGATCTCTGAAGGGATTAAGCGCCTAAGCAAACATTTGAGTGCAGCCTCATATCGGCCAATTTAGCAGAAGCACAAGGTGATTTCTCCATTATTGATGTGCAATTTCAAGGAGTAAAACCGTACATTAGTAAGATTGCTTTTGGGTCATGTCTAAGAGGAAGCACGAAATGCACTGAAACCTCCGCCTAAATTAACCCATTTGAGATCGAATCTTCCGAACCTTAACGGGACCAAAGAAAGAAACAGACGGAACAGTAAAAAAAATTAGACTAAACCTTCAGTAACGAATGGGGCCTTCCGAAATAAGGCGGAGCCGTCCGAGATCAAACGTCACCGTGAGAAATTAGGCGGAACCATCTTTGCCTGAACTCTTGTTGAAAACAGAACGACACAAAATACAGCAAAAACCAAAAGCATCATACAATTAAAACGGAAAGAATGCATTTCTGGATCTGTCAGGGGGTGATGTTGATCACCGTTGAGTGTCACGCGATCCAAAATGAGGCGTTTGCGAAATCTTCAAAGAATAAGGCTCGATCCCAGGTTACTGATCCAACAACAGAGGTAACGGAGAGAGAGAGTGACCTGGCAATGAGGTAGTGTAAACTGTAATGCGTCATGACAGCACTCTGCACAACAATGACGTCGGTTCAGGATAAGATGTAACTAGGCGACGGGGCTGTCGCCAATATTGATATAAAGATGACAAATAAACGAATGTTTTCCTTTCATCTTTGCAAAATCACAAGAAGCGTTTCGAAAATTTGAAATCTAGCTCGATTAGTCTTTTGATAAAAGCATTAATTTTGGTTTTAGATGAGTCCTTAGCATGACGGTTTGTTTGAATGAAGTTGCGATGCAGTCAGGAACAAAGAAATGTCGGCATTGAAAACTAATTAAAAAATAATTATGTCTTTCAGGTTATTTTGAAGTATTTTACGTTGTTGGTTAATTATTAAACAACTTCCTCATTTATGTTTAGTTTTGAACATGTTTTTTAATTAATGTAGAACCCTTGTAAGAATTAACCTAACAGTTGAGGCTTCTTTTTTCGGTTGCATTTATTTTCATTTACGCCAGAGCTGTGAAAATTCTTTGCTACAAAATGGGATACATATTTTAAACCGAAATTTCAATGAACACGTTTCAGAGTAGCATCATTATCCTGAAAGTTTTTTCATAGTTGTATGTCTTGTTAATATTCTGAACACATACCGAGAGATTTTTTTGCTGATTTCTAATCCACAAGTTTACTTAAGCCTCACAAAGGATCCGCATTGAACGCGTCGGGAGCGTTTGGTAAATAAATAGCGTTATTAGGCATTGTTTCGCGATTTTTTCTTTGTTTATTTGAGCAGACTTAACAGCTAATTTGCTCATGTTTATACATATTTTAATACGTGCGAATAAACAGAGTTTGAAGTACGCTAGGAGTGAGGGAATCTGACAAGTTCTCTCTGAAATCGTCACAATGTTTATTATTACGACACAGAAGCGGCCTAAGCTGACTTGCTTGTCTCAATGACCAGAATTAACAGTATGTGTAACTGATGTGAAACGAAACAAGCGCCAAGTATCTGCTGAGTACAGGTAAAGTTGATTTATTTTGTAAACAGGAGTTAAAGTTTACCTTGATTACAGTAAGGTCAGTAAAAACATGGAGCAACGAAACTTGAGTTAGCTTCCAAAATTTCTTTTTTGTAAAGTTCGGTTGCAAAACATTGAGGAAGGTTTGACTTTGAACAATACAATGTTTAATAACTTTCCTATTTTACTAAAGGATCAAACATATTCGCAAAACTTTGTAACTCAATCAATAGCTTTATTTAAGTATCATTGATATATAGCCGAGGATAATTCCTTTCTAGCTTATTTTTACAGCCCAAGTGATGGCTTACAACGCAACATGTGAAAGAAAGTTTCCATTTGCGTTCAGCGCCTTTCATTTGCACATATGGAGAATCTATCAAAAGATAAAACGCGAAATTTCTTAGTGAGCGTATCTCAAGGATTGTCGTAATGTTGTGTTGAAAACCTTTCCATGTGCACTATCTAAGACCTTTACTCTCAAAAGATTTGGATTACGCGTATCTTCTTACATCAACAACAAGTGCAAGGTACTTCGATGCGAATATAAGCAAATTATTCTGCCTTGTAAGGTTTACGGAAAACAGTAATTCAAATAAGAATATTTTCGCTTCGAGTCTTCGCAATTACAAGACCACAAAACCGAACGAACTGACAGACAAAAGAATAAAGGAACTGTGGTGCTGCGTCGATGGGAGAGTATAAAAGGGTAATTTAGTGTATCAGTTGAGTTGATAACGTAAATTGCCACCGTAAAGAGTTTAAAGGCCGACGTTTCGAGCGTCAGCCCTTCGTTCAATCGCTCTGAGGAAGGGCGAACGCTTGAAACGTCAGCCTTTAAAATCTTTACGGCGGCCAATTTACGTTATCAACTCAGTTGATAACACTATATTACCCGCCTGTGGACTGACAGACAGTCAGACAAAGAGACAGATACACAGCAGATAAAAAGATACACAAGCCAAACTTGTGGTCAGACAAAGTAAACATATAGCAGTTTCTTTTTGATCCGAAGTGTCCACAATCAAAGAAAACCTGCCTCATAAAGAAAGCCGCCTTAAAAGCGCGCCGCCTTAAAGAAGTATCGCAGTTTGAGGTAAAACTATCGATGAACGCCGCTCTCGAATAACCATTCGTATTAGTAAGCATGTTTGGGCTTTGCTCTACACTTATTTCTAGATTCCAATTGTTTTAGTGATTTTGTTGTTACTAAAACTGATGTTTGGATTTCCAGTCTAAAAATCGCTCTTTGGACTTGAAGGTTTGAGATGAGTTCGCCCATCTGCAAGTTCGCCGCCTTTCACCTTTGCAAGTTCGCCTCTTAACTTAAGACAAGTTCGTCTCCAGCTTCACCAGTTCGCCCCTAAATCTTTCAACTCGTTTTTCTACCGCAAAAAGTATCCACTTCCTGTCAAAACCATGATTGTTTTGCAACCAACATGCTACTTCCACAACGCAACCAAAAAAAACAAGGTTTGCTTCAAGAGTGAACATAAGTGGTTTCAAACCTCTGGTTCTCTGTTAATTCTTTTTCGGTGACACGAATTACTTTCCATGTTGTTTATGAATCTATAGAAACTACAACTGACGCTGTTTAAAAACTTAGAACACCACAAGGATGGAGGCGAACTTACGTTTTACTCTGGGAGGCGAGCCGGCAAAGGTGATTGGGGGCGGACGTGCAATGGGGTGATAATCAATGTTTTCTTTTATCATGCAATATCTTTACATTTTTGTAGGTTTTGACGACTTCTCCGTTCTATCGCCATGGGGAACGGCGTTAGGAAATATTTTGCCTTTCGAGTTCGTCCCCAACCCTCTGACTTGCAGCCAGTCGATGCAAATGCATGGATTCTTGAGGAAGTGGGACGAGGCAAAGCAGGAAAACATCGCCGACCAAAATTCGGTGATATGATTGGCTCCATTTACATCTTAACAGCACTTATTGGGAATTTAAATTCCCCATACACGAAGCTTAGTCGTGCAGGGCTGTTGCTATGGATACTGAGTATGACAGTAAACTTCACATACGACGGTTATGAGTCACTTGCTAAATATGGCTACCCATGGATGGGTGTGCGCGGTTTGCTGTTGATCACGTGTTGTGTTTGTACGTGGTTTACTATTCGGCGTACGATCCCGTGGTTGGAGAAGGGACTGGGGGAGCTGGAAAGGGATAAGTGTTACAGGAAGGCGTTACGTGATATGAAAGTCATCACAAAGGTGAGTCTCCGAGATAGTCCCTCGGTTAGAGTTCAGACTTTACTTTTCACCGAACAAATAAACCTTAGATTTTAAGAATACTCTGCTTTTCCAAGGAGAATCATCTTCTCCACAAATTGACTGGCATATAGGAATTTTCAACCCTCAGATGTATACTTTCAGCAATGGATTTATGATTTTATCTCCACGGTCTAGAAACTTCCTTATGTCCTGGGCGTGTTTGCTGTAATTAGTGGATCTATTCAGTTTGGAATAATGCAGAGAGACAAGGCAACCCACGTGACCTTTGGAAAGTCATCTGACCTTCAAATCACCTTCATATTCCACATGTTAAGGTTCCTGAGTGGTGTGCACATGTTCTACGCCTTAGCCCTTTTTTGGAGCATCCCCATGTGTGTTATGCTGATGGTGGGGTATTCAATGATTGAATATCAAGGTAAGTTATGGGATATCTGGTTGTTAAGCGTAGAGCGCATGAATTCCTTTCCCTCCCCTCCCCGAAGTGCATGTCCATTTTGAACAAGCTTCAACTTCTGCTGAGTTTTGCAACTCTCTTGCTCTAGGAGAAACTTGCAATTGAGTAGAAAAGTAGTTTTGGACTGTGCTGTCTTTGATTCTCTTCGCTCCGTACACTCATTATCCTTTGTTTGACAATATGTGCGACTTGGTAAAGCATAAAAAGTAGGAACTCTGCGTTTAGTGCGCCTCAGTCCCAGAGCTCCGCGCGGCGTACTAACATCAACTGAATTCTGCAGTTTCACCAGATTGTTTTTTTTCGCTCGCGCGACGGACTTTGCCGAAAAACACGCTGGGACTGCTGGTAGTCTATTTTTCCCACGAACGAGGTCGTTTGCATGTCTTTACTTTGTGTTTGTATTTCGCTTCTGGAGCAGGTGAGTTTTATTCTGATAAACGAAGGTGATTCCAGTGGTTTCTGTGTACCAACTCTTAATCAAAAACTGCTATAAAACAGTTTCTAAAGGATTGCCTCAAGTTGTTGTAACTTGCACTATCTTTCGTTCATGGCACGAGCGTTTGCGCTTAGCTGTGATTGGTTGCACGTTTTCTCGTCAATTCGACTGTTAGTATTCATTTTTTTTAAAGGTATGATGGTTTTAATGATCTCCTGCGCTAATTATCAAACCATTGCTTGCTTTAATTCGTTATTGGTTACACTACTTCTACCTTACTCCTGAAATTAAAAACTTGGGAGGAAAATTTGAGACAGTCTTTCTGTCGTGAAAATTTCCTTTAAAGCAAGTGCAGATCTGAGTGGCCATATTCAAACCAAATACGCTTACACCTTTTTCAATATTTTTATCTCGACAGACTTCTCTTGCATACAACTTAAACTCAGGGAAAAGCGACTGACGCTGAAACAGGCCATAGAGGGTTACAACGAAAGAGTGCAGTTTGTAAAGTTATCATCTTCAGCTTGTGTGGTAAGTAAGTTAAGCGATATTTGAGAGTTTGTAGTAATTATGCTACTCTTTCGAGTGGTATACCGTTAAATATCCCACGAGTTACTGGAATTTCTCGTGAAACATGATCCCTTAGATGGGTAAATAAAACAAGAAAATATCAGTGATAAATAAGGCATTTATGACATACCAAAAAAAGGTGCGCAGACTTCACGTTAAATATCTTTGAACTGGCTCACTATTTTATACGACCTTGAAACATTTTCAAAACTGTTTCAAGCGCTTATAAATAATAATTTACGACATAAAACTCAAAGGATGTATCATAGAGTTATGATAGTCGAATGCTGAAAAAGACCAGTTACTGAGCTCCGGTAAAGAAGACCGCAGCACTCGATGGGGAGTGCGAGAAAGTCGAATTTACAACGACCTTACCGTTATCTAATTAGCTGTATATTCTAAAGAGTTTTGTGAAACAGAGCAGGGAGGATCATTGTCTTGAGTTATCTTGAGTTGGTGTCGCTCAAAGGAAACTCTATCGAATCAAGAGTTTTGATCCATTCTCATATTATCTAGTGCTGGTTACTACAACCTTTTACCTTCTCCGTTCATCACCCTTCTGTTGTTAAATTTATTGAAAACACTACTAATTTTCTGATAGAAGTACGACTCCATCTTTTTTTTTTTTTTTTTTTCAGGTAATACTGTGCATGTTGATTGCGTATACTTTTGTTTCTTTGGCTGTCAACGCATACGTCTTTCTGTTCCGAAATCGAACGCTGTTCCTGTATATCGTCCACGCCCTCCTGCCTCTTGTGCTCGCAGCCTACCCACTAAGCACCGCGTCATGGGTCACCAAGCAATATCATTGGTTAGTATATCAAAGATGAGTCGCTGCACTCCAAGAAATGATCGGTTTCTATCTCCTCAATATATTATCGAGCAAACAGTGACGAGGATTGACAAAACAATCTGCTAGATGGAGAAAATCCATGGGGAAGAAATTATTGATATTTGAGATGAAATTATTCTTAGAAGATAATTTTACCGCCATAATCATATTTTTTATATTTCTTTTTAGGCATCTGGTAGCAGTTGTGAAGGCGTGGGTCGAGTGTAGTGATTCTGACTCTGACTCAGAAGACGAACGGCCTCTGAGCATCACAAACGAGCATGGCACCAGTAGATTACCTTCTAACTACAATGAATCGCAGGCTCCAGAAACTACTCTTAGGATTCACATGCCTGATACGGGCCATGTGATCGTGAATTCAGCTTATGACAACATGGAAAGACTTCAAAATGTACTTACTGGATCAGCACTATTCCTTGGCAAACTTCAGCACAGAAAAAAAATCCCAAAGTTTAATTTTGAAAAGTATATCTCATATCTTGATAAAGTTTCGAGGAATGTTGGCTTCTCGATCGGTGTGGTCCCGGTGACCTGGGAACTAGTGTCGACTTTGTTTTTCTTCCTCATCTCGCTGATTGCTCTGTTTGTACAGGAATCCATATTTGGAAAAGCGAAGAGCACGATAACGATTTGAAATTATTTGAATTTATCATTTATGCCAGCAGAACTTTCTAGAAATGATAATATTTATCTTAATAATAATATTGATGATGACGACGATAACAATGATAATAATAATGAAGGAAAAATGACCAAAAATAAGGAAAAAATAAAAATAAATTCATAAATATTTTCTTATTGTTTTAAGAAGGGCTGATGTACAAAACAACTTCCCGGAATGACGTCGAAAATTTTGTGCATTGTATCATTGTATCAGTCAACCAATCAGAGGGCGCCTTTTCTTGTGGCTCTTCTTGCACAGTAGATCCATATTCAATGACTTACTCGTTTCCTGCTGCAGCCGCTCTCTTGCCTCGATAATTTTCTGACTGAGGGAATCTTCGAGTTTCAAGTTTTAAAGTAACACGTTCAGTTGAGAGGTAACTTTATTTTCTGCACTTAAAAAGTTAGTTTAAAACTTCGTTTAGCGATTGGCGTTATGTATGACTTCATGTAACGGCGGACTTAAGTTCAAAAGTACCAAAGACTAACTTTTGTTACGTTTTCAGACCGCCTTTATCGTCTATTTATGGCATGATTACCAAATAACAAAGGTCTGTGCTCAATTTAAAGTCTCGAGAGAGACGCAATTACAAGATTTAGACGAAATAAATTTCGTTTCTAAGGTTTGTTTACCGCAAAAACTAAAACTACATACGAAGTTGGTTTCGGTTTAGTGATGGTCTGATATTCGAGAAGAATTCATCTTTGCCGGATCTTTAATGGAATATTTGCGAGCTATTTAATGAAACACTTCATGGTGAAGAATAAAAGTCATGTTTCGAACACCAAAAGTACATCATCTTTTGAAAAAAGATGGAACGTCTTGCTTCCTGATTGCGACATTTATCATACAGAGTATTGCGTGACCCCGACATCCGGTAAAATTGCTCCAAAAACACGCTATTTTGGGTGGAATATTGCTTCTCTTTCTCAAAATGGTGTTTCTTTCTTAAATGTACCACCAGAAACAAGTTGAAAAATATGTTTCCTACTATCGATAACAAACTGGAGAGATTTTGTTGCGATTTAAGCACAGCATTTTCACACTTTCCTACGTGGGTTTGATGCAATAAATTTTTAAAAGCGTGACCGGCCGGGAAACTACCGCATCGAGGGAAACTGAGCTTGTTCGACAGCATACGCTTGGAATAATAATTGTACTGCCAAATTTGAACACAGGAACAAATTTTCCGCATTTTGATATATAATTCGTAAGGTTTGGCACTGATTACGGCAGGGGAAAATGACTTCGAAATTCTTCCATATTGTTTTCTTTGTTGTGTTTGCGTGTTGCACGACGGTGACCACAGTAGGTGATCATTTTGGAGGTCAAAATGACGATTCAAACGCAAATTTCAGCCAGCAGAATAGACCTTCGTATACTTACGAGATCAACAAGTAAGTGCTCTTATAAAATATTTATTTTTATTTGTTATCGAGCGTTCAATCGTAAAAAATTTCCGAAATACTGAATAATATTGCCCTTTTCTGTCCTTTCTTCTCACAGTTATATTTAGTTCACATCAGTTCGAAAGAAAACGAAAATGATGTTAAAGGAAACGGGCATTCGAGGTTTCGTTGTTAATAGTCGAATTATCACTACAATCAGGAAAAAAAATTGGACGTTAAAAGGAAGATCGATTCTGCCAGAAAGGAGGGAGGTGCGTGCATGAGGAGGCCATGAAGTGACAAAAAGACTTAAAATTGAAGAAAAGCTGCAACAAGCCCTTGCCAGATCAGAAAAGTCCTGTGGGCATTGCAAGAACTTAAATGTATTATGGCTTGGCTAGCCAATTAGATATGCATAATATTAGAAAATGCAATTTAGCATGGTTCGGTTTAATCAAGACGCCTAAAACCTGCATTACTAGTAAAGAAATATCGTCATTAGCAATAAGAAAATCGGGTCACGTGACCTCTAATTAGCAAATCTAAAATGAGGTAAGTAAAACAAAAAGCAACGTTCCTTTTTGTATTTTTCAAAGGCTTTCAAGTATTTTTTTTTGAAGTCTGCCTTTTAGGAATGTATAAGTCATATGCAAATCAGAAAATAAGAAATAAAGAGGTCACGTGACTATGGACTTGGTTAAATCCCTAACAGCAGAAGTAGAATTTTCAACCTTAAAAAGCGGGAGAATCATTTACGCAGTCTTTGTAGCATATGTCTCAAAAACGCTCTGGGATTGAGGTTTGCAAATTTACCCCGTTTGAGGAAAAGTGTTTTGTGACGTCACCGAAAAAGAAATGTCACATCACATTTGAAATCATGAGGAACCTGTTTTTTCTTTGGAGAAAACTTTATAGATCACTTTGATGAATCGTTGCGAGCATCAAACCAATTAAAATAGCATTTTACAAATTATGTATATTTAATTGGGTAGCCAAGCCGTAATACAGAAGAGATTTAAAACTTTGGTCAGGAAAGTTACTAAAATGAACAAGAAAAATTCAAAAGGAACGCAAAGAATAAACGTTTCGGTGAATACTCACAAAGGCACCAGGCTAGAATTAAAACACAACGTAAGGAACAGTGCTATTGAACGCTTGCTTTCAGAGCTGGAAAATCATAATACCCGATTTTCAATTTTCATTGCATTGCAGACGTTAAAAACATGGTTGCCTTTATTTTGATGAGAATTTGAGTGAAAATAACGAGATTTTTCAAGTTACACGTATAATTAATTGCGTATGGATTATCATGATTTCTGAGCTGAGACAAACACGAACTAAAATATCTCGAAGCAGATTAATCCAATGGAAACAAAATTTGGAGTGGAGGCTTAATACCTTTGCGACAGTGGCAGATTCCTCTCAACTTGATCGCCTCAGCACCCCCTTAAATTCTATATATTCCACGAATTCCACAATCATCAGCACAATTCTGATATTATTATCGGAATCTATTAAGAATTCTGTGCAATCTCTAAAAATAACCAAGATCTCTTCATATGTAAAAATTTGTGACTGAATGAGTTTGAATCTTTAGACGAGCAATCTTGCGCGCAAAATGCTGTCCTCGCATATGTATCATTCACCATAACAAACGCGAAGTAAGAATTTACATTTTATATTTTAGTTATTTGTTTATTTATCTAGCAGGAAATTTCGAGTTAGAGTTTATTCGTAAATAAACATACAGTAACTCCTACTGATAGAGAGTAATTGCAGAGACTGGTTTCTAAAATCTCTGGAAATAAAAAGATTTTTTTTAAAAAATTAAAGTGGAGAAAGTTTGCATTGTACTTTTTATCCTGATAGAGCGTCACAGGCCGTTAAAAGTCGGTAACTAATACTAAGACAAAACTATAGTGAATCGTAAGAAAATAAGAGTAACGAAGCTGGAACTTTACTGAACCTTGGCTCAATTTGCTTGTTTTCCTATGGGAACAATAAAAATTACCTACCCTTTTTATAACATGTAACATTTTCAGACGTTCATCTACATAATAATACAGCAAGTACTATGTTATGAATACCCGTTTTGTTTGCTCGTGCGACGGCTGTATGTTCCCATCTGTGGATTAAGATTTGTTTTCTCAAGAGGCTGAAATATTTTATAATATTTTGATGAAGCATTAATCTCCTTCCTGAAATGAATTACTGAACAAGCACTACCTTACAAATTTGTGTAAAATATTAGCGGAACACAATAGACATATTTCCATGTCACGGTTTTCAAAACGTAGCCCAGGCTCGCTGACCCTCTGTAAATATGCAAATGATTAGGGACCAGTATCGCCGTGCGATGCACCGGAAGAAAGGTGGTCGCATGAAGATGGCTGTCTCATAGTAGGTTGGTTCCAGCACTTAAAGTTAACAGATATTAGAACACGACAAGAAAATATTTAGAACCTCTTGGAACACGACTGATTATAATTTTATCACTTATTGTTATGTAGGTGACTCTAAATCAGTTCAATTGAGATACATTCATTCTGTTTATGAACCCACCCATGGTCTGCACACATGGCTACCGCACCGGATCCAGAGGTGCTTTGTTCCACGGATGGAAAAGATAAATTCCAACGAATATCGCGTCTGCTAATTAGTGGAGGTACTACACTACTTAGAGAGGTGTTTGATCAGATTTGCCCACCATTTCAACTTCCTTCAAAATTAAAAGATCCAACTACAAAGAAGCAGCTTAAAGCGGCAAAGCTCACAAAGCCACAGCGAAACTGCCTGTACCCCTCCCCGGGGACGTATGGTGAGTCAAAAGATTTCGATATTACTCTGCTCTTCGCTTTGCTAAGGACGATATGCAACCTCCCCCGTCCAAGCACGGGCTGGGATATTCTACCAGCTCCCGCCGATCACAGTTTAGTTGCAGAATTGGCAAGAATTAAGCATTACAGGAACGCGGTGTATGGCCATGTAAAGGGAAACATGGAGATTACAGATGACGAATTTCTACAGCTTTGGAAGGACATCGGCCAGGCTCTGATAGGTGTCGCAGCAAACCTTGGCCCAACAAGCAAACGTAATGACTGGCAGACGAAAATTGACAAGTTATTGAAGGATCCCCTTACTGCTGAAGATGAAAGAAACGTACAGGAACTGCAAGAATGGTATAAAAAGGATGAAGACATCAAAAAATCCTTAGATCAATTGGTAGATACAACCCAAAAAGGGAAAGACAGTATAGAAAGGATGGAAAAAAACTTTGAGGAGATCAAAAAATACTTGAGTGAATTGCATGAGCTTAGGCCAATTTCTTGCCCGAATTGCACTTGTACTGGTAAGTTTTTAAGATTCGTTATAATTTATCTCTTGGGTGTTTCTTTTTTCTTGAATTGGGACTACAGGAACTGAGAAGTCTTACGATTCCTCGACAGAAATATATGTAGAAAATAGATATAGAATATATCATGGGCTTTTTTTCAGTTTCATTATAACAATTTTTTTGTTTTTCACATGCTTCCAATTAACAGATGCAGCTATACTTCCGGTGAAGTTGAGTTGTGAGATCTACGCACACTCAGATCAACAAGGGGACCTTTGCGGAATGTCAGTAAATGGAGATGCCTCGCGTGCTACTGCACAGGAGGTATTGAATCAAATTGCGAAAAGTTATTTGCAGATAGTTGAATCATCCACGAAAAAAGAGTTCAATGAATTTATGGAGTATCTAACGAGGATGGGGAAGGTGTTAGTTGTAGACGTCATAAAAGGGAGCTTGATGATCAAAGTGGGATGCCGATCTGTGCAGATATTGAGTGACTTGTATATAGACTTTTTAACAGGTCATTTAAATGCACTGGCACAAGAACACCTTGTGACAGAGAGGGTTCTTACCAAGTTTGCCCTCATGGAAGCAAAACTCACTACAAACATTTCAGAGAACGAGTACAGAAATTGTCGAAAGCAATTAATGGTATATGCAGGTGAGTGTGGGTTATGATATTAAACGACTTCAGCTCCAGCTTTCCAAATAATTAATGCTGATTCAGCTGATTTATTTTGGATTCGCTTTATCCTTGATATACTCGAGTTAGCGCGAAAGAAAGGAAACACCTTGATTCCGATAAGCACGAGGTTTTCTAGTATCTAACTACGTACTTTTTTCAGGTTTATAAAGGTTCCAGCCCATTGCAACTTCGATCGCTCCCACCTTACTCAGTTTGCCCCATATATTTCAACTTGCAAAGGTGGTAGGGGCGAACTTGTAATGAGACGAAACCTCCAGATACCCTTTGTTATAGTTAAAGAAACAGTATACTTCAGAAACCGTATGATTTTTATCTCTATCATTAAAAACATTTTAATTTTTTACACTAAGTAAATTTTGAGATTACCAAGAGTAACCTGAACTTCCCAAAATTGTCTTCAAATATAATAAAATTTAACTGCCATAGTGGACGCCGCCATTCTAAAATTTTGCTCAGCAACCATGCCGGATAACTTGTGACCTACAAAGTCTCGGCGGTTCTGGGGGGGCGCTATGTTCCCTCAAGTGTCTTCAACATGGCAGTCTCCGTAGTCGAAGTTTCGAGCAAATTTTCAAGAATTATTTGGATTCCATGTTAGTGGGCCAAGCGGTTGATTCTAACCGTTCCTGTTCATTTGGGGCCATAATACTTCGAGCAATTCGAAGCTGCAACATTTCCCCGGGCAACCCCCCGACCTTTTGAGAATTGGTTTGTTCAATTCCCGTCTCCCGGAAATTGTGTTCAAATTCAAATGCTCAGCCCGTGCCGGATTTAATGGTCAATTTTTTGATAACAGGCAAAATCAGCGTCCGTGAATTCTGCTCATTCGCCAAGCTTTAAAACTTGAACATTGTAGAACTTTTCTTCTGAGCCATTCGCTGGCGAAAGTGTACTCTTTAAACACCTCTATATAAAAAGATACAACAAGTGTATCCCGCTAGAAAGACTTTAAACTTCCAGTTCCAGTTCCCCACCCCACCAGGGAAGGTTCAAATTTCCCTTCCCTCGAGCCCGGACGACAGACCAATGCCCGTGGGTTGCCCAGAGGGGATTTTGAAACTTCGAATTGATCGACGTACAAATGGACCGTATTTACGAGTGGATTTAACTACTTATTCAAGTTACACTGTTTTGGATCTTTCAGAGTTTGGATATTATTAAAAAAAAAACTTGAACTCAACAGTATCTGCAAAAATCATCTTTTTTTCCTTACAGTCCTGGAGCCGAAAGTTTTTGACCTAAAGAAGCGTCAAGATAAACTCCAGAAGAAGTTCCGCGAATGGGTTCAAGTTAGAAAAAAAATCAGAAGTTTACTTGAAAGACCGCTCCAAGATCGTAGAATGTACTCCTGCAGTACTTTTCATTGGCTTGTGGCCTTAGTCGCTGTAGGATTAATGGCAGCAATCAGCACTTTTGACGTGTTAGCCGCCGACGAAGACATTGGCTTAGGTGTAGTGATATGCATAGGCTTGTGGGTATGCTTAGGGTTGGCCTTAAGCGCAACCATAGCCTCAAAACCAGGTTCTAATAAGGAAAATGATCTTAGAGATGACAAAAACGCCTTACAAAAAGTTTCGTCAGATGCCGGTCTCCTCGGGAAATGTGTGGCTAGCCTTTCTATTTGTTGCCGCAACCACACGGAGCAAGTGCTAACGAGCAGAGTTCTGGCACGGGAATTCCCATTTTTAATTGACATTCTACGAGAATCAGGGTCAGAATTTCACCGTGAATCGAAGTCAATGCTACAAGCGCTGATCAAAAGAGAGTTAAACATTCATTCTAAGGGATTTCAATCTTTACTGACCACCAACAGGGAAATCCTACAGGAGCTGCATGAAGGACCAAGTCAGGATGAGATTCAGGAAATGATCGTGGATTTTATCAAAGTAGAATTCGATAAAAATTCTCTTAAATTTCATCAAACAAGTCCTTTTATTTCCCACTTCCATTAGGACCGGTAACTCATGAAGCTCGTTAGGAATTGTCAAGTTTACAGACGCTAAGTCGTTCTGGTCTAGTTCTAGTTTACGCGCTCAATTAAAGAGGCCTGTAAAATATCGCATCGAGCACCGTGCTGAACAGAGTAAGACGCATAAATTATGAGTGATTATGCAATCGGAACCATGTGGTTAATCAGTATTTGCCACGCAAGATACGGCTTCGTCGAACTGCGTCAGCCTTTAGTTTCAATTTTCAGCAATCATCAAGAGTGACTTTTGACCATAAGATAGACTGCGGCAGGAATATCATAGCACCTAGTTACTGTGTACGATAATTGAGTAGAAATCCGCCTGGCTTAATTACAATTGACCATTTTAGTTCACCACTGCTTCAGACAATATTCATTTCTTTAGTTGACTATAATTTCGTACTCTCATTTCCAAAATGTAATCGGTTTTGGGTTAGTTCTACCACGATGCAATCACACAGCAGTGGTAGTGTGATTACAGAAAAAATTATGGAAACTTCGGTTTTGGCGATCTGTGCCTGCTGATTATCAAAATCGCTTTAAAATAGCCATATACATTTTCAATTACGAGACAGAACCATTCATAACTTGGTAATTAACGGTAAGTTACAAAATCCTTCGCTATGTCCCTTTTAAGAAGAAAGTACCGGACAGGTGTGTCGTGCAATTAGCGCGCGCGCTGAGACATTTAACGTTGATCAGTCGTGAGTAAGTTACCCTTACGATTTCTCGCGTGTGTTGTCGCAGTTTTAGTCGCATTTTTTAGTGGCATTTAATCGCACTTTCTTCTTAACAGTCCCTATAAAAAGATATCAGAATTTCTCTCTCGAACAAAGCAAGAGACAATGTAGGAGCTCAACCATTTGAACTTTAAAACGTGCAACTTCATGTCAGGCAAGGCAAGCTTCATTTTCGCAGCTGTCAAGTAAGCTTACGAACAAGAGTAACGGCATTACAACAGTGACAGATTGTTAAAGAAAAGAGCTATATCACAGTGTCGAATCCAGAGCAAGACTGCAATTCATTCTTCCCAGAGAGAGAGTTGTAAAATAGGATAGCAAATACACAAATCTTTTGTCTGTATAGAGTCCGAGCAGAGTGCAAAACTTGAGGTCAATCTTACTTAACATGTGCACTTCCTGTGCGTGCCGAATAGATTACGAGACTTGAGGCAATCTTACTCGACATGTGCGTTTTTTATGCGTGCCGAATAGAGAATGAGACTTGTAGTCAACCTTAATTGACATGTGCGTTTTCTGAGCGCACCGAATAGAGTGCGACTAGTCATTCTCACTCGACATGCGAGATTTCTGAGCGTTTTCTGTGCGTGCCGAATAGATCTAGAGTGCGGGACTTAACATAATCTTTCTTGACATGTGCGTTTCTGTACGTGTCGAATAGAGTGCAAGACTTGCAGTCAATCCCCCTTAACATGTGCGTTTTCTGAGCGTGCTGAATACAGTGCGGGACTTACGATAATCTTACTTGACACGTGCGTTTCTGTGCGTGTCTAATAGAGTGCAAGACTTGTAGTCAATCTCTCTTGACATGTACGTTTTCTGTGCGCACCGAATATAGTGCGAAAGTTGAGGCAATCTTACTTGACATGTACGTTTCTGTGCGTGCCGAATAGAGTACGAGACTTGTGGTTAGCCTTACTTAACATGTGCGTTTTGTGTGCCTGCCGAATAGAGCAGGGAGACTTGTAGTCAATCTCACTTAACACGTGCGTTTTGTGCGTGCTAAATAGAGTGCGAGTGTTGTAGTCAATCTCACTTGGCATGCGCGTTTTCTTTGAGTGCCGAATAGCGTGCGAGACTTGAGGCAACCTTGCTTGACGTATGCGTTTCGTGCGTGTCGAATAGAGTGCGAAACTTGAGGCAATCTTACTTGACATGTGCGTTTCTGTGCGTGCCGACATGTGCGTTTCTGTGCGTGCCGAATAGAGCAGGGAGACTTGAGGTCAGCCTAAATTAACATGTTGTTTTTCACTTGTGCCTGCCGAATAGAGCAGACTTGAGGAGACGTATGCGTTTTGTGTGCCTGCCGAATAGAGCAGGGAGACTTGTAGTCAATCTCACTTAACACGTGCGTTTTGTGCGTGCCAAATAGAGTACGAGTGTTGTAGTCAATCTCATTCGACATGTGCGTTTTCTGTTCGTGCCGAATAGAGTAGGAGACTTAAAGTCAATCTTACCGTTAACATGTGCGTTTTGTGCGTGCTGAATAGAGTACGAGTGTTGTAGTCAATCTCACTTGACATGTACGTTTTCTATGAGTGTCGAATAGAGTGCGAGACTTGAAGACAATCTTGCTTGACATGTGTGTTTTCTGTGCGTGCCGAACATTGAGGCAACTTTACTTATCATATGGGTTTTCTGAGTGTGCTGAACAGAGTGGGAGACTTGAGGATAAACTTACTTCACATGTGTGTTTTCTGTGCGTGTCGAATATTGAGGCAACTTTGCAAGACACTATAAATTTTGGTTACTCGGAGGCCTAGAGCTAAATACAGTTGTAAGTTTCTATAGTGAACGACACAATTCTTTTTGGAAGATAAAGTTAGTATTAATTTAGAGACTTGACCTGTACTCAAATTAAACTGACTTCTTAATTCTTCACAATAGGGAGAAAGCATCTCTTTTGTTACCTTTATCTTTTCAGCTGCAACTAGATATTCATTATGAAGATCATATAATTCTTCAGAATATTCCAAGTCAACTTCAAGAATGACTCCTCGTTCTGAATCTTCCGTAAGATTAGCTAAATCTCGAATTGTAGCTTGTTTAAGCCATTTAAAAGCTCCTGTTGGTAAGGCTTGAATCATAGCCCATCCATAAAGATTATTAGCATCTAGATAGGTGATATAAGATGTCTTTGTTTCGGTGTTACAGTCTCGCATATACTTATTTTTAGCCTTGGCGTATCGATGAGCAATATATGAGATACCTCCACGTGTATCCTTCTCAATAAATAGTTGCATATCAACATCACTAATTAATT